CAGAAGAGAGCAGCGTGTCCATGGCAGACAGTGAAACTGCTGTCAAAATGGGCACAGGGCGAAGTCCATGACCTAAATTCTTTACTGGTGAAAAATGACTCCGCAGGCGCTTCTGTGATGACAGCAGCAGAAAATTTCCCCTAACACATCCAAATGATGCAGAAGCCAGATTTTAAATGAGGTGGTAATGAGTTGTATGGACACTGAAAGACAGAAAATCGTGCTGGCCATGCACTGGTGGTGCAGAAACATGCATCCCAGTCATGGAAGCAGGGATGGTTCATGGCAGCATGTTTTACCCTATTTTTTGCTCCTCTGGGCTTAGAGACTGTGGCTTTTGGGGCAGGGATGGCTGGATTTTCTTCCAGACATTTCAGATTCGTTCAGCTCAGCCTTGTCTGCCGTAGTGGCTGCCGTGGGGTCAGCTGAGGCTTTTGGCACCGGAGCCTGAGCCCAGGAGACCGGCCAAGGGTGACCTGAGACCAGTCCCTGCACTTGCTTCCTCCGGGCTTCTCCCATATGAACTGGCTGCTTATCCACAGATTTTTACAGGCTGATTTCACCCCGTAGGAAAAATGTCCCTGTCTGCTACAGATGAGCTGGCAAGCGCTGGGACTGCTTTGGCTCAGCCTGGGTGCTGCTGGGGGCACGGTCACTGCTCCAGAGATAAAAAGGCAATGCTCACTGCAAGGCTTTTCCCAACAGATCATCCTGATGCCTTCTGGAAAGCATTTGCCAGGTTTATTGGGAGGTTTCTCTCCTCCCTCTTACATACCCATGAGGGAAAATAAAATGTTCAATTCTACCGAGTACATGATAGACCTGATTTAAAGTTATGACAAAATATTTAGATTAAAAGGAATGGAATAACATTATTCTACCATTTTGCCCACACAGTGATTTCCTAGGTACACAGAGTAAATCACGGCATGCAGTCTGGTGGGAAAGTAATTTAAAAAAAAAATTACAATTTGATTATTAACTTTTTTTTAAGCCACTTGGGTCTAGAAACAGCTTCTTCCTGAAGAGGATCTCTTCTCCCACTCCGGCACTGCCAAGGCTGGATGTGCCCCAGAGTTTGCCCTTTGCCTGGCCATGAGCTAAGGGAGAAGGGTTGCGGTTAAGAAGGTGACCCTGTGGTGGGGTGAGGTGCTGGGGGAAAGAGCTGTTTTTCTGTGCCCTTTGTGATTCAAATAGACGATATTTGGCTTTTCAATGGGCAGTGCCTTTTGTGCCTCTGGCAATGGCGATGCAGGCCATGTCATCCAGAGAGAGTGGAAACCCTTCGGCTCTGGGATGCCTACACCTAGCAGCAACACCCAAAATATTTAAGAACTGATAAAGCTTTTCCAGCCCTGTAGTCAAAGGGACTGTGAGGATGCGCCTTGCTAATCACCTTTTCTCTTCCTCTTGCCTAGGGTATGCTGGTGGAAGGCCCACCTGGTCCCGAAGGCCCAGCAGTAAGTGATGCTTTGTCTACACCTAGCACCGAAGGATGCGCGCGGCTCCGGGGCGCTGGATGCATGTGGAGGGCTCGGCGCAAGCTGTTCCTGGCTCTTGCTTCCATATGCCACGCACGTGTACAGAGTGCTTCGGGGTCGATTTTCTGGTGCAAAAATAAATAGAAAGCTCTAATTCTTTTCCTGCCTGTTGTACAAATATGTTACAAATAATAATACATTTTCCTGTAGTGGCTTATTTTTTTTCTGTCTTTTTTATGCTAGGGCCTTCCAGGACCTCCAGGACCAACTGGACCCGTGGGCTTAATGGGTGACCCTGGGGAGAGAGTGAGTACCTGTGGTTTTGGCCCCTTTAGCTGAAGCCTGGGGTCATCTTGTCTGTGCGCAAAGTGGGACTGTGGCGTATTGCTGGGGCCCTAAAATATGGCTCATCCTGTAGTAGCAGCCTCTTCTGAATCAGCCCCACAAGGAGCTTATACATGTGCTTACAGGTACAGGGTAGACAGTTGGGGAACAGCCAAGCTAATCAAATGCATTAAGCAGTTTTCTCTAGGTTAAAACCAGGAGTAAGGCTGACAAACCCTCTGCTCTTGGTTTGGCACGTGGCTGCTCGTTCCAGCGCAGGAACTGGGCCGCGGCACTGGGAAAACAAGATAAGCAAACAACGAAATATCCTTTAGCACAGTAAAACGAGGTTCAACGGCGATTCTTCCGTCCTTGTTCCAGCTGATGTTGTGAGTCAGGTTTGGTTTTGTTTGGGTCCGGGATGGTCCCAGGGTCGTGCCAGCACCCCTGCTGAGGGTCCTTCCTTACCCTCGTTTTGTGTCCCAGCCTGCTCCTGGGGGGAAGGTGGCTCTTGTGCAGCACCTCACCCTTTCTGTAGGTGGCTTATTAGTCTGTACCAGCGAGCTCTAGAGACTGATTTATATGCTTTAACAATGCAGTAACTTAGGTTTTGTATTACGGTTTTGATGTTCCTTTAAACCAGTTCTGTCCATAGCAGCCGCTGCTTTGTAAACTGCGCCTGCAGAAGCCTCCAGCTTTGGGGTGTCTCATCGAAGGCAGCTGCTCCCAAGCACTTTTGTGGAATGTGACCCCAGATCCCGTAGTTTAGCACTGCACTTTGGTCAGAGTTGCATGTTTATTTGTTATTGCCGAGTCCTCACCTGGGATCGGGAGTGACCCGTGTTACGGAGCTGCTGAACTCAAGCCTTGCGTCAGTAAGTGGTGCACAGTCGCCATTTGAGCAGCAACCCAATGCCAAAAATTAAAACTCTATCTCCTCACTCCCTGAGCCGAGTCTCTGAAACAACCCTCACACCAAGACGCTCCTCGTTTGCTTTGGCTCACCCACAGTTCAGGCCTATCCCCCCCGGCAGAGGCAGCCAGGCGAGCAGGCACCCCTGCGCGGCTGCCTGAGCAGACGGGGACCAGGCTGCACGCTGCTCCCGGCCCCGCACCCAGCGGGAATTTTGGCCTGACGTCTAGTGGAAGATGCACCACAGCACAGACGGGCTCTGGCTTTGCACAGATGCTGAGGTGGGAACAGCCTCAGCTGCCAGAGCAGCTTGGTTCGGGTCTGAAACTAGAGGAGTGCACTCGGTGTCCTTGAGCAATAGTGCCTTGGGTGCTGGAGTGCCAAAATCGGGGCTGTGCTGGCAGGAGAAGAGCCGTTCCTGCCTCACTGCAGCCCAGCGGGGCTGCAGGCTGGTGCAGCAGCGGCACGGGGACGTGTACCAGCAGCAGTCATTTCGCATGAGCAAATTCATTGATTTCAGCAGGTTTGAGTGAGCAAAACAAATGGAGCTTGGAGCTTGACACCGTTTCAGTGCCTTGGTGCGTCTTGATGTTGAGTGCAGTCGAATGTGCTTTCAAAATAGCTTCTAGTGTACTGCTGTTTCATCGGGGGAATGGGGCTCCCAGCAGCCCCAACGCCAGCCTCCTGTGGCCCATGGAGGCATCCTGACAGCCAAAAGGGCAAAAAAAATGTGCTCACGGGTGGGTTTCTGAAGGCAGGCTTGGTTGGAGGTCTGCTTTTCCAGTTTCTCCTGGAAGGCACAGGAGGGAGGAGAGCAGCAGCGACACGGATCACAGGAGATGCGCCTGAACACGTAACACGCCGCTGCTGTCAGCGCCGTCACCAGCGAAGGCAAAACACCCTTCCGAGGAAGGGAGCGCTTATCAGCAAGCGCTCCCCTAACCCCATCGCCGAGGTCCCCAGCACGTTTCTCCGGCCGATAAGGCAGCCCCGCTACCTGTGGCCGCCTTGCGCGCACCGCAGCATCCTCCGCCGACCCAGCGGTTGGCTTCCAGGTGGGAAACCGCATCCCGTTTGCATCCTGGGTGTCTGGGAAGGATAAGCTGGGGTGACTCAGGCTCCCTGCGTTTGCAGGGCTTCCTGGTCTTCTGGCAGATTTTGGTTAAATTCTGCCCGGACAAGGTGGGAAACACCACCAATCCAGGCTCAAATGGGAGGGTCTGGATGGGTAAGGGGTGTTGTGCAGTTCCGATGTGTGTCTTAGCACAGCTAATTGCTGCGACTGCTGTTAAAGATTTGTGTTGTGGCCTTGTTTATCGCTTTTTTTTTAAACTTTTTTGTTTTAATTGAGTAACCTAAGACCCAGAAAGAATAGGAGGGAGAATTCACTCCATTGCAGAGGATCAGAACAAGATCTCTGTGCTACCAAGGATCTTACCTTAGCCTCTTTTAACACTGGAGTGAGGCCAGAGGTTGCCTCTGCGGCCGCCATCAGGTGTGCATCAGACCCTCTGGTTTTCATTTCTTCTTACTCCCAGCCTGGCTGTGGGCACGGCAACACCGGCTGAGGCACCTCTGGAAGTGACCAAGCACCGTTACGTGCCAGGACGCAGGGAGGGATGTATCAAAATATGAAAACACCGATTAGAAAGGCTGAGTATTTTTCCCTAAGTCCTTCCTGGCCCAGGTGTCTGCATGGGTTAAGCGGAGACTAAGCCACCGTGCCTCAACTTGCAGATGCCTTTTTTTAAGCTGGCGTTTACACCCCGCCCCCCAGCTTCTAAAATCCAGCTGCGTTCCCTTTCCTGTGCTATGCACCCATGAGTTGTGGTCCTTCCCTCGCACTGCCCTTGCCGTCATTCCTCTCCCACCCATCCACCCATCAAGGTGGTTCTCCGTCCCACCTGCTCATCAGCAATAAGCAAGAGATGGGGAACTGCCCCTCTGCAGTTTGGTGCTCTTCCAAATTACCCTTCCGTCGGGGTGGATTTGGGGTCCCCCGGGGCCTGGCTGCCTTCCGCGGGGGCACGGGCAGGAGGGCTTGCCTTCCCAGCTTTCCTGCCTGCTGGAGGACAAAGCAACCGGCTGGCTCCGAACCTTCGTTATTCCCCTCCCGACCTGCAGACACGCACGTTGCAAAATACAACCAGTGAGAGAAATAAAACCATTGCTGGCCTGCACTGGGAAGTGTCTGCTGGAGTTTTAAGGTGTACTTGAAGAGATTACTCTGGTGTTTGGGTGTTCTTGTGGCAATGAACCCTAACCTGGGCCCTGGTTTTTTTTAATTAAGGCTCTTTGTTGCTGTGTTGTTCCCGGGGACTTGGCTGGAGTCCGCTGACTGCTGTGCTCCCCCATCCTCCCCGGAGCATTGCTGGAAAGACCCCTACCTCATTTACGCTCCTGGTGTATTTATTGTTTTTTGATGGAACAGTAATAACGTTTCTTGTGGTTGTGACATGATTGAGAACGAGAGGCCCTGACTGTGCTCCATCGATCGATGCCTGCGAGCTCCAAAAGTCAATAGGCAGCTGCGGGCCAGGAGCCAGGGCCACTGCTCAGAGAGGTTGGCTTAACCCTTGAGAGACTGTGGTCCTGGTTCTTCCTGCAGTACTCTAGCAGAAGGACCAACGGAGGACTCTGCATCCTTGGGTGTCAGGCTTCCTAGAGGAGGGGCAAGCTGGGCAAGGTTCCAGCAGCGGTTTGCATCTTGCGGTGGTCTAGGATTAGTCAAAAGAGCTGTGGGTCTTCATCCTGTGTGGGTCCTACATGTTGCCCAGCTTTGTCGTCTTCTCCCCTTAATGTGCTGCTTCTGCTCCAAAGAATTCAGTTGCCTGGCAGGATGGGTGCTGACCCTGGTGACGAGGGAGTCTGTACTTTTGCCATTTGTTTTTGACTTTTGCTGGTCAGGCTCCTCTTGAACGGCGGCGCAAAGCCAGTCAGCAGCAGACGCATGGTCGCCGATGGTGTTGCTCCACACCCTGACATGACAGGCGTCCTTTGCATCTAGCACAGGACTGCACATCCTGCTTTTTCTGAGTGTCCAGAACAGAATGTGAAGCAACATATTGTGCATAGAGAAGTGATGAACTTGCAGAGCCAGGGACTGCAACTCTATTAAAATACTCCTTTTCAATTAGAGCAGCTCCTCTTCTAATTTGTTTATTATTAACCCTGCGTGTAGCTCATGAATTTACATGACACTCGTGTACGGTGAGGAACATTTCCTATGCCTGCGTCTGATAAAAAGACTTTTTATTTGCAATCAGGTAGGTGCACCGAATTAATATACCAACAATATTCAGCTATGTTAATATTGGCCAACACACATTTAGCTCTGTTTTATTCATCATGTCAGTTTGTTCATTTATCCCAGTTATTCTACAACGCGGAGAAGAGCTTGCGTCACCAGCAAGGCTGCAGAGCAGCCTGTTTGTGGGAGGTTTCGGAGGATTCATCTGGGGGGAGGACGGTTTAGGATGACTTAGGCAGGTTTCTTCGAGCAGTGGGAATAAGAAAATAACGGCACTGAGGAGATCAGAGAGCTATTTCACTGGTACTAAGGACTGGAATGAAGAAAGTGGGAAAATGTGCTCCTTTGAATGAGGTGAGCTGCAGCATTAGAGCGAAGCTGCAGCTCTGTCACTGACCCTGCTGTGGTTGGAAATCTGGGTGCCTGGGTGCTCTGGGCTTGGTCAGCGTGCCTCTGGGGGAAGGCTGGCTGCAAAGCAATAGCTGTATCTTCCGAGACCATACAGTCATTGTGTCCCAAAGGGCTTGTTCCCCCTGAGGACAGTTTTGCATCTCGGAAGTGTAATACAAGCCCTAAAAATCCTTACGGTGGTTCTGAAAGGCTTGGTGTTTTCAGGGTGCCCGTTTGTCCATCAGATGCCAAGCGCTGCCTTACCTAGAAAACCCCAAATACCATGAGAAAGATCTTCTGTTGCATAATTTTCTGACCAGGGCTGAAAATGGCAGAAAAATAATCCTAGAGAGAGACATTTGAAGCAAATTTTGAGGCTCGATACTGTGGGCTGCTGGGCACCGCTGTTCCTGTCTGCTGCTCGAGGAGCCCGAGCACCAGCACACTGAGGTTTCAGTTTAAACATTCCCTTGAAATATTGTGTTAGTGTTTGCACTCAGCATGGCATTTTAGAGCACTGCACCAAATGAAAGTTGAAGTCCCCATCCCTGGCTGCTATATATCAGCAAATCCCTATTTACATAATGAGTGATACAGATTTACACCAACTGAGAGTCTGGCATGCTGCATTTTTTAAAAGCATTTGTGAATTTGAATTTACAAAGGGCTTTATGGGTTTGATTTTTCCCCTGTACCATTGCCTCCTGCTGCTCCACCCTGCAACGAAAAGACCTCACACACCCAACCTGAAACAAAAAGAGGCATTTATGTGTAAAAACATCACATCAACGTTTGTCAGGCAGAGTACACACAGAGAGATAAACAAGCTCATTCCTGATCCATCATGTGCAGGACCGGAGTTAAAGGGGAAGAGGGGGAGGCAAGAAAGTTTATTATATAAAATGAGTCTGGCCTAAATTATTTATCGTGCTTCTGCTCTAACAGATGGGACTGCCCTCTGCACCTCATCAGTGGAGTCAGGGACTCCGGTGTCGGCCAGACTAAGTAAACAGCATGAATGTAACATCATGAGCTTTGCGTGAAAAATGGATGGGCTGGTGCGTTATGCAGCCTCCCTTTGGCGTTAAGGGAGCTGCTGGGTTGGTTTTTTGGGGGGGGTTGTTTTTGTTTTTTTTTTTATGCTGATAAATCACTGGCTGCAGCACTGTCTGCTTGCTGCAGCGCTGGGAGCAGCGTTGTTATTCCGGGCTGGTTGCGGTGCAGACCTCAGCTCCTCGGCTGCCGCGCTGCTCTGCCCTGTAATTGCGGCGTGGGTCGAGCCACAGCCCGGCTGGGGCCGTGTGCTGGCTGGGGCTGGGTGGAGTAGCGGCAGCTCTTCGCCCCCACCCTGGTGCTGGGCTCTAATTTAGCGCTTGAAACGTTTGACTTGAATGTTTTGGGTTCCTTTTTAAGAGGGAGACCGTCAGGGAAATGTTAAGTTGAACATGGCATAGAGGGACACATGTTTTGGCTTGTTTGGGGGTTTTTTGGGTTTTTTTTAAACGGTTCTGATTTTTAGGGACTTTGTTACCTATTTCTTTTTCCCTCCTCCCTTTCCCATCTTTATCCACCTCCCTTTGCCTTGAGGGGTGAGTGCGTGACTCTCTGGGGCAAGGTCTGGCTCTTGTGTGTCCCCGTAGCCTGTCCATATACATCTGTGATTTGTGGCAGGGTTTTATTTTTTACTTTTGTTTGTTGTCTTCATGGGCTGGAGGGCTTCAGGCAGGTTGGAGAGAGTGAGAACTGACATAGATGTTTGCTGCTTGCCCTTCGAAGAGCTTCGGTTGTCCACAGATGGATTTATTATTGGCATTTACTAAACAGGAGAGTGTCCAAGTCCTCAAGCTTGAGCTGTCGGCCAGGCAGTCCTGTTTGTCTTGCAATGAAATGAGCACCAGGGCTCATGTTGGCCTCACTGGGACATGATCAAGTCACTCTTGTCTTCGGCTCCGTAAGCTGGTGTGAAAATTGTAATTGGTCATGGATATTGAGTAGTTGGATGGTATCCTCATTTGCATGTCGGATTGCTGGATGGATGTACAAATTTGGGTTAACTTAAACTTTTTGCAAATACACAGTTGAGAATACAAATAATCTGTGGGCTGTCTTAGGAAAATTGGCCATATTTGATTATTTATAGCTTCATCGATACATCTTTTACTGCATAATCGTTTCTTTAGTACAAGTTAAAGACAACTGATGTTAATCAACACGGCTCCATCGAGATCCTCAGAGTTTTGCTGATTTACAGCTGCTGACAGGATCACTTCATTGTAGATGGAAGTAGCCTCATAGGACTAAAAAAAAAAAAAGACAAGAGAGAAAAATGGAATGACCCAGATGACTGAACATGTACAGAAAGGTATTTATCTTTCCAGATATCTATCTCACTGACCTGAGTTATGAAGTTTCATATACTTTTTTAATAGGTTTTAACAGACCCAACTAAACATTGATTCCATTGTCTTGGAACATTGCAGAGACTTCTATTGCTCACTCAAAAATTACGTAGGGCAGACCCTGGAAGTATGGGGGCCAGGATGTAAGAGTGGATTACTAAGAAAAATCATGTGCGCTTACAAATGTGCTTTCACAAAATTTGCCGTAGCATTGGGATGCCTACATGCTCAATGCTTGTCTTTCAAGATAGGGAGCCTTTTATATCATGACATATACCTTTACAGCCACAACTGCTTATGTATGGACGTGATTAAAATAATGCTATAGGAGTTTATTTTTACTTATTCTTCTTGTAGGGACCACCTGGCCGCCCAGGTCTTCCAGGAGCAGATGGTTTACCAGGACCACCAGGGACAATGCTTATGTTGCCTGTAAGTACACATGTAACTAAAAAAGCATTTAAATGAGTAGAGCTGCTTGGCTTTGCTACTGCTTGTTCTTGCAGAAGTCTCCCATCCCTTTCACCAAGGACACGTTTTCTGTGGTATAAAAGATGTATCTGGATGGCTTTCCTTATAAATTCACTTTTTGCAAAGCACTGGAACTTCTTCACTGGTCAAAAGCACAAGGTAGTTAGGTTAAAGTTTCCAGAAATTATGAATAAGGTTAAATGTTTCTGGCTGGGCATAGTGTTGGAAGGTGACAGTCGTGAAGAAGCAACTGAAGACACTTCCAAGGGCCCAATTTCCAGGCAGAAGCCTCCTATGGTGAGGAACCTCTAACAGCTCTTCAAAGCAGGTACCAAAATTGTAAGCGCCTGAATTAACCGGTCATTTTTGATGACCAGTGGTTATATTGCATTGGGTTTTCTTCCCCTACGTGAAGCTAGCAAGTCAGCCTTCTTCATCCTGGGATGCTAACGGAATGGTTATATTTTATGTCTGCTTTGATGTGAGAAAACCCTAAGGAAACCAGATGCTGAAAATAAGTGGTTAGGTACCAAAGGAAAAGAGCCTTTTAGTGAAAAACCACAGCACTCTTGTACAGGCTCCAAGTGGTAGGGTGATACTTGTGTAGGATACTGGCAGGGTGCCTGGGACAGCCTGGGCCAAGTGCTCAACACGGAGCTTAGCTGGCCATTACAATACACTTGTTGGCCTCTACAGTAACCAACCGTAGGCCTATAAATTGCATCTCTTTGAATCTGCTTGCCAAGTTCGTGTGGTCACATACCTAGCAGTAACCAAGCGCAATGCAGAGGTGAAATGGAGGTGAAAGAGCCGTCCAAGTAGATTCTGCAGCCCGGAGAGTCCTTCTTGCAAAATCCCAAAGACGCACACAATTAAGGCAGGAGAAGGGTGTGTGTCCTGGAGAGCAGGCTTGTAGCTGTTGGGGCTGGAGGAGGCAGAAGAAAACATTAAACTCCTTCCCTTTCAAGTTTGGGAAGATGAAAACATTAATGCTTGGGAGGTTTTTAAAAACCTTTGTGTGCTGAAGGATCTTGGCTCAAACAATAGGCCAAACTCTGCTCTGTGAAGCACGCTGCCACACTTGAGAAAGGCAGCCTTTGTCCCATGGCAAGCCGGCAGCTACAGCCAAATAACCTGATGCAGCCCCATCTCCGGGGGTCTCCTGGCCAGCAGTGCCTGCGCAGGCAGTATCAGCTCTCTGAGAACTTTGCATTTCGTTTCGAACGGTGGTGTGAGAGGTCTTTACAGCTCAGAGCCTGCAACCCCTCTTACTGTGCGTTACTTTGAAGCGGCAGAATTTGCTGTGTGGGTCTGGGCGTGGGAAATGGTCAGTCTGTGTCTGTGAGCTGGGTAACTCGAGCACCCCGTGGTTAATCGGCTGGTCTGGAACGACAGCGACGGGGTTGGGTCAGTCTTAGGATCAGGCTAGTGCGAGGGTGGGGAGACAGCAACCCTGCGACCTGCTTTCTCCATCTTGTTCCCATCAGTTCCGCTTTAGTGGAGGAGGAGATGCTGGCTCTAAAGGACCTCTCGTTTCGGCCCAGGAGGCCCAAGCCCAAGCCATCCTGCAGCAGGCCAGGGTAAGTGGAGGGCAGTGGGGATGTCTTCTACAGCAGGTGCCTGTGGAAGAGGAGGAGGACCGGAATAAAGGTGTCACGGGCGATGTCTCCATACTTGCACCATCCATGTGCTGGTGGTAATAATAGCCTCTCACCTGAGACGGAATTCCTCGAGGTGATGGCATCTGGGTGTCTTGGTCTTTTACTAACGCTCAGCCATAGGCCAGGCCCTAGAAGCATGGTTTTGAGTTGCTTACAGGCCTTCTGCTGGTGCAAGTAGACATAGGCCTGTTGGCTTCGGTCATGTTTGCTGTTCGTGATGTCAGTTGTGAGAGTCTGTATGAACAGTTGTGGTATGTGCTGCAAGGGTTTTGTTTATCCACCCCCCCCAAATTATAATCATTAAATGTATGTCACGGATGTAAGCTGTTCCCAGCTGCGCAAATCTCAACAGGCGGGCTGCAATTTCCTTTGATGTATTTATCTGGAAATACATGATGAATATCCATGCAACCTTTTCTTCTCTCAGATGATCTTATTGATCGATGATCAGGTAACCCCTGGCGGCGTTGGTTACATAGGCTCGCTGGTGAAACGAGAGCAGCCGTGCGCGTTCCCGGTACAGCTCCTGGTCCCTGGCTAGATGAGTACTGTAGTGTATAAGGCCTCATATTCATCTCTTCAAAATAAAACGTAATTTCTAGCCAATACAGCTTTGAAACTTTCCTTCCGTGAGCGCTTGTGTGAGGTTACCGTTGATCATTGATGCAAGAGGCGCAATTACAGCAGAAGGGAACATACGGGGACCCCACAAGCCCCCTCCTTCTATATTTACCCCAGTCTTGTCTGGGAGGGAGCCAGTTCGGGCTGCAAGCACGCCCTTGCAGTAAAAGGGAAAATATAAGCTGGTTTAGGGAGCATTTCGCAGAGGGACGGAGCTCTGGGGGCATTGCTCCGCTCCCTGCCAAATGCAGCCATCCGGGGCAGAGCGTAGCTGCGCTCCTCAGGCCCCTCAGCCCACATCTGTCTGCAGCTGGGATGTGCGGCTCGGACGCAGCCAGTCTGTTACTCAGTGCTGTTGGCCGTCTCTTTAGCACAGATTTTTTTTGGGCCGGTGTGCTAAAGTGGGCTAAAAAGCAATTTATTTTACCCTTGAATGAAATAAAGTCCATTGGGGTCTCCCCTTTTTGGTTTATAACAAGGGTTTTGGCTTAGCCCCGGGTTATTCTGGTTTCCATCCAACTCTCCTTTTACAAAGGAGTTTGATTTTATACATATTCAGGTAGAGTACAGGGCTCTGATGCCACCAGCCATTGTATTTTCCTGTCCATTAACCTTGCTCTGAGAATAATATTGGTGGCTTATGTTTCTGGTGCTACCTTGTCAGTCTTAATTTCAAGGCTGCCTACAGTTTTTCCATCAGCATTTCATTTTGCTGGGAAATAGAGCTTTTGACCAGATGAACATTTCATGAGAAGCATCTGCTTTCTCAGACTCTCTGGTCTTGTTCTTTTTTTTTTTTTCTTTTTTTTTTTTTCTCCCCTGCCTGTTGAAAATTGTGACTGTTATGGAAAAAAACCCCCAACAAACAAAGCACCTCTCTCCTCTCACTTAAAGTCTCTTTTCTGTTTTTTTAATTTTCAGTTTTGGGGAAAAAATTAAAAAACAAACAAATCCTGGGGGACCTTTGAGCTGTGTATGAAAAGTTGAATATTGCCAGAAAGAAAAAAAAAATCCATTTTGGGGTTAACTTCAACCTATTGTCAGACAATTGTAGCTGAAAAACCTGATACCAAAGCAGAAAGGGAAATAAATCACCTTTCTTTCTTTTTTGTTTTTTTTTTGGTGGGGAAGTTACAGGATATGGCAGGTATGGAAGAGGACTCCTGCAGGGGGGAGGATATCTTCTTCCCTGTTTTGGGGTTTGTTTTTCTTGTTATTGTTAATTGCATTATTAGGTTGATTTATTCCCTTAAAATTTGGCTTTCAGTAGACACTGAACATTGTCCTAGTCGGCAGTGTATCAGAGCAGCTCCCTTTTAATGGGATGTTGTAAAAAGATGCCACATAATCTAGCATTTGTGCAATATTTATGCCATTCCAAGTGCAGTCACGGGTAGCTTTTAATTACTGGAGTACATAGATAATTACAACTCTTAAAACGTTGAATTGTCACGAGGGAACCAGTTGTCCGAGTGATGTTTTAAAGTGTGGACCAGCGCCATTACCCACCATGGAAATTACTGACTTGATGCATGGTTATGTGACTCCTTAATTATTGAGTTAACACCTTCCCCCCACCTTACCCTGTTGCAAATAAAATTATAAAATTGTCTTTCTGTTTGTAGGCTATTATATAGTAATTAAAAAAAAAAAAAATTCCTCCAAAATTTAACTCTTAAGATTGTAAAGAAAAAATCCTCCTAAGCTGGACTGGGATCATAAAGATATGTGAACAAACCCTTATAACCTGTCCAGGCAAAGTTTTGACATTTACCTTCAATAATTTATTGCCAAAAGCGTCCATTTTATTGTGACTATACGTGATGATGGAAAAGGGGATCTGACCTGCAGAGGCAGATTCTCTCTGGTTTAAATGCAGGTAACTCCTCGCCCCTCCACCAGCTATGGGTCTGGGCCAGGGTGTGTTTATATGCATCTATACGGGGTTTTGTGCTTTGCGTGCACGGGGCGGAGCGGGCGTACGGGGAAGGATGCCTACAGGCAGACTGCGTGTAGGTCCGTACGTCCTCTCAGCAGACCCACGTGCCGTCTGGGGGATTTGCCCATTTGTGGATGCAGGAAGGAGTTGGTGGGGCAGCAAGTTGGACATTCTTGGGTAAATTCACTGAGCGTATGGACATTGCTCCAAGGATTCATGGTCCTCGGGGCGTGGAGGGAACGCGTGGCTGGTGGCACGATGGTGGCTGTCCTGCTGCAGCAGTGAAGCAGAGGCACCAACTGAGCAACGTTTCTCTCTTTCTGTTGCAGCTGGCGCTGAGAGGACCAGCAGGTCCAATGGGTCTGACGGGGCGGCCGGGCCCCATGGTAAGTGAGTGGGCCAGCAAGGACGGAGCAGACCCAGCCGGCGCTGTGGGTGCTCTGGGTTACCTGCATGAATGGATCTCTCTTAACGTGGTATGAATCTTCCCTCTGGCTCTGTTGTGGAAAAATGTAATAAATCGTGTTCTCTGTCCAAAGGGACCTCCGGGCAGTGGTGGACTAAAGGGAGAAGCTGGAGAAATGGGACCTCAGGTGTGTGTGGGCAAATTGGGCAACTGGGGGGATCTGGGGGAAATGAAGATGTGGAGCAGCCAGTCCTGCTTTAGAGGCTGTTGTGAGGAGCGATTCAGTAACTCAATGCCAGCTGAAAGTAGGAAGGTGTGGGAACATCTGGTTTTGCATATAAATGTCCCTTCAAGTATCCAAATGCAGACTCAAGACATAATTTTAAGCCAACAGTGTAAAATTCTGCAGGTGGTAGTCCTTTCCTGCAAAGACACTTGTGGAGGAGTCCCGTAAATATGAGATAGGTTGGAGCATGGGGAGTTTGCTGACGCTCAGGAAATTGTTCTTCCAAGCCGTGCAACCTGCATTAAGGGAAAGTTCCCATTTTCTAATGGTGGGGGAAGTGATTTGTCTCCACCGTGTGGAGCTGCTTGCAGGGCCAAAGCTTCCTCGCGGATAAACGCATGCAATTCCTGTCCAAAGATGCTCGATCCTGAGCCTTTCCTGTGTATTTTGAACCACGGGCTCTGCTTGAGGGGTTCACATCCTGTTTTGTAGCCCTGGTGACCCTGACGGCCCCAGCAGTGATGCTACAGGCACTGGGTCTGTCTGTCGTGCCTTTGGGTGATGGCATTTCTTCCTCTCTGCTTGATGCCTTGCAGGGTCCACGAGGCATCCAGGGTCCTCCCGGTCCGGCAGGAAAACCAGGCCGCAGGGTGAGTGTCCTGGGAGCTGCACTGGTGACTGCATGAACTACAATTTCTGCTAGAGATTGTTACTGCTGCCAAACAACTTCTGAGCACCGAGAGCATTGCACAAGAGCAGGCTGGCAGCCAGCCGGTGGCTTGTCCGGGACCTCTCTGTCCATCTGGGCAGACACAAATGAGGATGAGAGTCAGAAGTTGGCAGTGTGGGGAGAACTGCAAATCCACATTTGTCGCTATTTTTTTTTTTTTTCCCCTGCTCTGTGGTGTTGAGGTTGTAACTTCATAACTAGCTCTGGGATGGTTTGAACAGTCCCCAGGTCTCGGTAGCGCATGAAGAGGATCCACCCCAGAGGGTTTCTGGAGCTGGTAAAAATTGTGCTCACTTGCTCTGTCGACATCCCTGATGCTGATTTTTATTTTACTCTGTCCTCTGGCTTGCCGTGATTCGGCTTGCTGGAAGAAGAAACAAGGAAGTCTTTTGTGTGACCCACTTCTGGCTTTCTTAAAAAAAAAAAAAAAAAAACAAAAAAAAAACCCAACTCATTTCAGTTTGTGGATGTTGTCATTAGCATATCTTAAAATGCACTGGAAGATAATTATTTCAAATGAAAATCAGTGACAGTGTCTCAGCATCCCATGTAGTGAAGCAGCTTTGCTGCCATTTGTCTCGCCCTTCTCATTAGTGCCGGGCTGAGCCTGGGATGCTGCCTCAAAAACAGACCGGCATTTTTTCCCTCGCCAAGGGAAGCGGCTCCCCAGCCGGTGAGCTCTGCCTTAAATAAAACTTCACTCGGCCGCAGACCAAAGAGCAGATGTCTCTCTGGTCCTCCCTTACCCTTTGTATTTGACTTCGCTTTTCTCTGTTGCAGGGACGAGCTGGCAGCGACGGTGCCCGGGGCATGCCAGGCCAGACAGGACCAAAGGTAGTGCCACATATTTTTGTGCTTTTGGAATCAGCATCTGCTTTTTAGCAAGTATGAACTGAGAAACCCTTGGCAGAAGGAGCCCACCTTGCTTGGAGAAGGTTGTCGAAATGGTTCAGTGACTCCTGTGAAGTCACGGGCTCCACATTTGAGAGAGGGGAAATTAAACACACACCTAGAAGGCACAATAGCAATCTTTTCTTTTCCTTTCCTTTTCGTTTGATGCAACTTTTTTAAATTGCTGGATTCTCTTAAGAATGAAATATGTTCCCTTGGCTGCAGTTGTAGAACAAATACTTGGAATCCCAATTATGAAAAACAAACATGAATGAGCAGTTGGAAACGTCCTAAAATATAACTACCAGAAAAATACCTATTAACCGGGGGAGGAAATGCAGAAGGCATGGTGAGGAATTTTAATGCCCTGTATTTTTATTTGAGACAAAATCCCTTCATTCAGCTGTGATCTGCTGGTATTATCAAGCAAGAAAGAAGCTCTTCCACTGAAATTGAATGCAGAGAAAGTTTGCTCAGGGAATCATGTAGTAGAAGGTTTAAGTGCTTTATTATGTAGATACTTAAAGCTGGAATAGATGGGGGGTTTTGATACAGAGACAGGAAACTGCAAATCATTTATCCAGTAAAGTACTTTAATGAGCGTCGACTGCCCTCAAAGGAGTAGATGCCAGGGAAGAAGGGAAAACAGAATAACGAGTAGTGCTGGAAAGGAGAAGGAAATTTGCCGTGAGCAGAGACAGAGCGATGCTCTAGGACCTGCCAAAAGGAAAGCGCTGCCGGTTACCCTGGGTGCACCCCAGCCAGACTGACCTGCACCGATCTCGGGTGCGATCGACTTTCCTTTCCCTGTGAATAGGTAAAGGATTTGTGGAAGGGAGGAGCTGATACTATTTTCACATGCCGTTAGAATGTGAAAATACAAATGTCTTCACCTCTTTACAGAGAAAATGGGACTTCTTTATCTACTGAGTGGTACCCACTGCCTTCTGCTCTGGGCGTTAGGAGACTGTGTCACCCACAATTTGCAAACGCCCCTGTATCTTCTCTCCTAAGAGTTGAGGTTTTTGGGAAAAGGCTGTCTCTGTGCATTCCTGTCCCCGCTTCTCCCCAGAACACAGGAGACTGAACAGGGCACAAGTTTGGAGAGGAGAAGCCCTGTTGCGGCTTGCTGTGTTCACCGTGAGGTCTCCACGTACCGACCCGAAGGAGCTACATGGGCACGGGCAAAAGCCCTGGCAAGGCAGGCTCCTGCCGCCCACCTGCTCTCAGCACTACTGAGGTTTTGCTTTTCCTGCCTCTCACTTGAATTTCATAGTGAGTTGCCCATTTCCTTTGGGAGCATCCATGGACCTGGGCAGGGGACATGAGGAGTGCACTTAGGGGACATTCACATGGTTGTTTGCAGGCAGATGCTGGCAAGTGCTGCCTGCGCTCTGCCAGCGTGAGGTTGCATGACTTTCTCAACATGATGCCAAGTGCAAATTAACACACCCGGCCTTTTAGCAGAGTTCATTATTTTGGGCTTGGCATCACGCTCCCCAGAAGGATGCCCAAAGCTCTGTTTGGCCCAGAGCTGCATTTACAGCAGTAGACAGTGGCAGGAGCTGCTGGAGACGTGTAAGAAAAGAGGTATGCTGGGAGCCGTCCTTGCCTTGGTTTGCCTTCCCTCTATCAGCAGTTTGGGACTATATATCCCCTATACACCCCCAGTCTCACAGCTGGCTTTGTGCCTGCTCAGGCTGGGGGCAGGCAGAGCGGACTGCTCTGTGAGGGTAGCATGGAGATGCCACATTCACAGTACCCTTAAGCATCCATGTGAAGTCACCAAAGTTACCAGCTGATGACATTCCTTTTTAGGTCAAAACAGATCTGTCTTCTGACCTTGAATTCATTAAGACAGTTTCCAGACTTTATTTGTATATAAATTTGTTTCCTTAGAGAGTTCAGGAGGGTTAAACGGATGGACTGCAGTAAAGCTTGCATTGTTGGCAGGCATGGGAATACTAGTGCATCCAGTTTGCTCACCCGTGGATTGTCATTTCTAATTCCATGGAGTCAGAAATAAATAAATAATCGGAGTAGAAGAATCTGTCCAGAAGAGAGAGGCTTTAGACCATGGAGAAGTCACCCAGAGGGGTTCTGAAATCCACATGGGAAAGCATTTAAAACTGTAGGTGCTGGGGGAAGAGGGAGGAGGTAAAATGACTTTGAGCTTTTTTCTTTTTTTTTTTTTTTTAAATTCTGTAAGTTTGAAATCATCACTGGTCTGATGGGAGGTGATGGCTGAATGTCTGAGGGAGGAAATCAATCCCTCCTTGACACAGAAAGGAAACAAATTGGAAAGATATTCAACAGCAGGTGGAAATGTGTACTAAACTGGTTTTTCTTTTAGGGTGACCGAGGGTTTGATGGCTTGGCTGGTTTGCCTGGTGAGAAGGGAAATAGAGTAAGTTATCTTCCACTTGTCTTCTGGCCGTGGTCTGTAACGAAACCTTGGCAGGAGGAGGTGGCTGGGAGGTGCTGGGCGGAGGGCAGCTATTGCTGGGGATGAGCCGCAATGGTGCAATTAGGATAGGATGAGCGTGTCCTGTAAGAGCGTGAGGGGTGTCACAGCATGCCTCTCAGGCACAGCATTCACATCCCGGGAAGTTGCAAGATCCTTCTGAGGCTGCTTGAAATTGGAAAGGGGAAAAAAAAAAAAGCCTTAATAAAATGCAGACTGAAAAATAAAGCAAGAAGCAAAACACTGCTTTTAGACAGTGCAGTTGTGGATGGAAATTGCCAAAAATTATAATGAGATTCTTCTCTTTGCTGTATAATTAAACAATGAGAAAAAAATGTAAGAAGCCGGTTATTTTGGCAGGCTGTTCGTGCCTTCCCTCCCTAGAGAGTGCAGCCATTGCTTTATAAAGCAAGGGAGTGTTTGAACAGCGGAGATTGTGTCGTGATTACAAGCTACACAGGAAAGGGAAGACAGCGCCTGAGAGAGATGCTTAATCAGCCAGAAATGGAATAGCATGCCTTTGGTAAAGCAATAACTGCGTGCAGAGCATGAGTCCCTCTCCTGAAGGAGCTACCATGGTTCCCAGACCCCTGCCAAAGTGTCACTGGTAAATCCCATGAGCTCTAGCTCCTGGAGGACATTAGTCTGTCAGTGCTGGAGCCCACGTGTGGCCCTGAGCAGGTAAAGAAGGGCTGCTGCTTCAAAGAGCACAGGGAGACTGGGACCATGAGGGTATGAGTGCCTTCAGCACATGGCACAGACAGAAAAGTCAAGCCTGTTGCTTGGTTTCTCAACGTTACCCAATGTTTTCTATTGCCAGAGCATCTATGCCTTCTCTGAAGCTCTTCTGTTGTTTCTTTATAGGGTGAGCCAGGCCCCCATGGACCCCCAGGGGCGCCCGGAGAGGATGGGGAGAGGGTAAGTCTGTCTCTGGATTCAGCAGACCTTTGAATTCATGACTAACTCCTGTAAACAAGAAGCAGATGCAATATCAACCAGAGACGTGGCAAGAGCAGCCAGCACCAGCCTGTTGTTCGCCGCTGGTTGGCAGCGGCAGCACCCTGTCCTCGTGTCCTGGGGGTGCTGTGGGTGGCCGTGGCGAGAGGGAAGCAGAGCAAGGGGATGGGACTAAAAGTGAAAAGAATTTGTTTCTGGTCAGAAAACTCAGGGTTTGTTAATTACAAAAAATAATAACAGAAGAAAAATGTTCATCCTCTAGGGGTGCAAACTATCGCTTCTGATTTTTCTAAGATCCAGCAAATTGCAGCAAGACTGGGGGAATAAAAATTTCAGACAGATGCAGGAATCAAAGATTAAATTGTTCACTTCTCCTTCCACGCTGTTTAGTCAACAGTCAAAAGCCTTTAGCAAAGCTCAAACTAAGCGATTACAGGTCTAGAAGGGCTGATTTAAGAGGAGAGATTGAAAATGCTGAATCTATAACTGTGAGGAGTGTGTGGTTTAATCGGAGCAGTGAATATGGATTTCCCAGGCTCTAATCATAGAAGGGTTTGGGTCAGAAGGGACCTTTCAAGGCCATCTAGTCCAAACCCTTGTGTGCGCAGGGACGTCTTCAACTAGAGCAGGTTGCTCAGAGCCCCGTCCAACCTGACCTTGAATGTTTCCACGGATGGGGCATCCACCACCTCTCTGGGCAACCTGGGCCAGGGTTTCACCACCCTCGTGAAACATTTCTTCCTTCTATCTAGTCTGAATCTGCTCTCTTTTAGTTTAAAACCATTATCCCTTGTCCTATCGCAACAGGCTCTGCTAAAAAGTTTGTCCCCACCTTTCTTATAAGCCCTCTTTAAGTATTGAAAGGCCAATCCCCCTCCAAGATGTTGTTTCCACCCTTGGCTATTTGTTTCTTCTGTGGAGCACAGATAATAACACCTCCCTCACCATGAGGTTGCGAGGATTGATTAGTTGCAACTGTAAAGTGCTTTGAAGTTGAAAATACCAAACCTGTGTCTTGCAAGGGAAGAAGTGGTGTCTGGAGAACTTTAATTCTAGAGAGAAAGAAACAATTCGAGGTATGCAGGGAGAGAAGCTCAAAGCACGTAACTGGGGAGGATGAATTTTATCAGCAGAAGAGGGGGGTTTACCAGGGCCACCAGCTGGGATTGATTTCCTGAGGGACCCTTAGGTTTTGGGTGATTTAAAAGCAACTCAGAGGAAGCACCGTCTAATACTCCTGATCGGTGGGGCATCAGCAGGAGATGGGAGTGGAGGGGTGGGCAGTTACCTCTCTGCTGCCTCTGGTTTATCTGAGAAGCCCGGGGGTTAATTTGGCTAAATCATGTTCCCAAGGTGGAGCTCCCATACTGGCTGCCCATTCAGTTTGCTACTAAATCTTGCAGTTATTGACTCACGTGCCCTGAGTTGTTTCTACAATATCTTGTCTATTAGCAAAATCCATCTTTATAAACATCTACGTGAATTATGAAGTATCCCTACAGCACTTATAATCCTCGTTAAATTCTGCACACGCAGTATTAGTCTCCAGGCTTATGAGGTCTTCCTTATGTATGGCCACCCTTTTATTACTCCAGGGAAGCTGGTTTTCTGTGTGATTATTATCTAAAAAGAATGAAACACCTGTGATGTGACTGAAATATAACTGGCTTGTTCTGTCTCTTTTGCTGCTTCTCTCTGTGTCTTTGCTGCTGCGCAGGGAGATGATGGAGAAGTTGGACCCAGAGGCCTACCTGGAGAACCTGTGAGTATCTCCTCCTTTGGCTTGACGTAGAGCAGCGCTACTTTGATCAAAGTCTTGATATGCTAACAATGTTTTTAGGGGTCCCATGGGGCAACTCTTCTGGTGCTAAGCAAGACCCCTGAGGTCCTGCAAGGACTGAGCTTCTCTTGCTTGAAGACCCATGTGAACGGTTTAGAGTATCTGTGCTGTAACAACTGTTTTGCTTTTTTTTCACTAAAATGTTTACCAAGAAGAGGAGATGCTTTCTGGTGTTTTTGTTTGATTGGTTTTGTGTGTTTGGTTTTTTTAAGTGAGCAAAATTCTCATTGATTTTGTTTGTATAATTGTAAATGTAAAGCTTAGCTTAGATTGGTCTCATAACTTTCCTGCATGTATACTTCTTCCTGATGTGTTATTTAGGATTCAGGTAAGTAGGCTGGAGTAGAAATTATGGATGGTAAACATATATGTGAAATACAGTTTTTGTGACTGTTCATAGCAAATTCCAGTGAGGAATGGTTTTGTCTGCTATTGCATGGCAATGGCAGCCATTAGCCATGCAGTTCCCTTGCTTAGTTTTGTGCGGTGTGAGTGATCCCCTTTAAATCTCAGAAAGGGGCAGGATTGAGCTCAAGAGGACTTTTGCCCTGACTTCTGTGGGGTCAATATTCTGTTCACAGTGCACGAAACTTCATAAATCTACAGAGTCTGTCAATGTTTGCACCTCCACATGCTGCTAACACTGGAGGAGCTGAACAGGGCTAGCAAAGGAGGGAGTTCCTAGTATCGATAAGGTTAAAAGGAGATGCTAGTGGTGTTGAAGAAAAATTTCCTGCCCAACCCAAAGAAATACTTTCAGGGAGTATCCCACCAAAAAGAAACTATCGGATTGTCAATTTGAGACTCTGAAAGCATTTTTTTCCCCGATATTTTTTACTTTATTGGCAGCTCTGCTTCTGGCTCTCTGTAGATTTTTGTGTGTAGTACAGTTGTTGGCTGCTTATTTAATCCAAAATGCATTTCCTTTGTTATGAAAAGAACATTAACTATCTAACATTTACCATCAGCTTTGCTTTCAAGATGTCTTATTTTATTGGTCTAAGGCCCAGCGTGGTGGCCTGAGAGTAATTGATGAGAACTGTTGGACACACTTCATGTGAGAAAAGGAAGGGTTGGCATTTACGGACTCACTGGAACTAAATTATAGACGAGATGTCTGATTAACTTCTGAGAAAGATTAATCAACCCAGCTATCTCCTTAGCACATGTCTAAGCAATAACTTATGGGTTATTAACTTCTTAAAAACGTTTATGTGCTCAGGTAACACAGTAACAGAAGAGGAATTTAAATGATGATAATGCATGCAGGAAAGTTTATTTCAGCAACACGAGTAAAAATATCTGTGATGGCCAGAGTAAAGGTTTAAATTGCATTACAGGAAACTTTTTGTCATAAATACGTACACCCTAAATCTGTATGTTTGCCTTTTTCTCTGCGCTGAGCCAAAAGAGGGTCTTTCCAAATTTAGTGATAACTGAGACTAGTGGTGGGACTTCAGAATTTGTTCCTGTTCATCCTGGTCCATTTTCTTTTGGTTCCCGTTGCCAGTTGGTACAAGTAGAGTTTCTGCTCTGCTGGGGCTCAGTGTGCAAAACTTTAGCCCGTGAAGGTCTCCGGTGGCTGGGACAGACCGCTTGGTTGATACATTCAGTTTTTGCTGCAAACTGCATTTTTTTTCAGGATGAAAATCCCCGCAGTCTCCAAGATCAGACGCTTTCTTAAGGTCTCCTATTTTATCCTGTAACATTTCATTTTAATTCCTCTGTCCTCTCTGTATCATAAAAAGGGATGTATAATATTTGGGCAGACAGATAAAACTGCCCATCAATCAAGAACAATTTTTCTCTGTGACAGTGAACGAGCACCATCCTTGTAAATACCCAGTGTTCCCCTATAGTCCCTAATTTAAGAAAGGGCCTGTGTTTAAAAGGTGAGCTTTCAGATCTGCAGCTGTAGTGCACACAAGATCCCTTTCCTTTCAATACCAACCCAGCTGAAGGCTCAACGTGGAGGAGGTGCCAGGGCGTGATTTGCAAAGCTTCCTATTGAATGAATACCGTTCTCCTGCCATGTCTGGGCTTATTCAATGTGATGCTCCAATCCTACCAATTTCCCTGAAGATAATGAGAGGTTAAATCTGGTGAGAAAGCTAGAAATGGAAAGAAAACACCATGATACCAGTAGTCCTGGCTGGATAAGGTTTAAGAACCAAATGCTTTTGAAAATGTACATTTATGCTGCAAGCTGAAAACCTTTTTCCAGCCTTGCTGAGCTGTATAGATTGTCAATGATAAAAATTAAATCTGGAGAGATTTTGAAATGCTAACCCTAATGATCCATTAGTGATATCAGGTCATTCTTCACAGTACTCCCCAGCTGAAATGACTTGGCTGCAAAGTGTTTTGCATCATTGTGTGCATTACAGGGTAATCCAAGAATATGATTAAATTAATAAAAAAATGTTGGTTTAAGTGGGCCTTCTTCCAATCCAAAGAATAAATGTCTGTGCCTGTATTATTTATCTTTAGAATTCAAGGATATGTGCACACAGGATTTCTCTTACCGGTTTGTAAACCAAGAAAGATGCTGTTGCTGCAAAACCAGCAAGGTCATTGCCGTGCCAGCCCTGACGCTTCCCCAGGCACGAGCTCACCCCCATCCATGCTCACGGCAGCATGGGGGGCACTGGGAACGCTAACCCTGTTTGTTTCACCCAACAGGGACCCCGAGGACTGCTGGGACCGAAGGGGCCACCCGGACCCCCGGGGCCACCGGTGAGTTCCTGGGGCTGCTGCCCTCAGGCAGTCAGCTGAGCTTTCCAGGCAGAATACCCTGTCTCCATTAACCATTCAAGCAGATAATACAGCTGCATAATTTTATACATCTGTGCAACAAAAAGAAGTGGTGGTCAAAAAAAGTTATGGCTCAAGGTCCATATTCTCCCCCATTTCAATGGTGCCACATCCATTTACATCAGCTCAAGATTTGGCCCACCTAAGTAAATATTAATGCCTCGCTTGGGCTGAAAGGGAAGAATGAGAGTTATTAACACAGTGGCTTTGCTATTAACTTTTGCCTGAGGGCTGGTGAGACTTTAAAGCAGTTTGTTCATATTTTGAGCGAAAGCCGAGGAAAGAACGTGCTGTTTTTTATTCGGGAGACAGTCACCTTATCTGTCGTGCGCTGCTGGAAGTGCTGATGCAGGGGCTTTCTCCATAAATCACTGCAGCTCGGTGAAGTCCCGGAACTTAAAAACCAACCCCAGAGCTAAAGGGGTCAGCATTTAACGGTGAGCGTTGCGAAGCCCTTAACCCTTCCTGGGGCGTGAAGACATCTTCACTTTGAGCTCCAAATTTAACGAGCGTTCAGGATCCTCTCCAAAACTGTCTCATATTGCACGAGCGTACCATTACACCTAAAGAAGTTGCCCCACCAGAGCAAAATGGTGGTGGGGGAACCCCAAGCGAGACATCTCCAGTTGACCATGTACCATGTTACCCCCTTGCTGAAGATGCTCAGGGTGTATTTGACCCCAGTTGCCTTTTGCGATCAAAGCCTCATTTTGGCACAAGGCAGCGTGGCCTCGTTGGCTTCACCCACTGCCTTGGTGAATGATGCATTCATGTCCTGAGCAAGGTTTTTTTGGTCTGGTTGTTACTTTCCATTTGGTACTACACTCCTGCTCGCTGTTGGAGGAGATCAGCTGCAATTCGTAGCTAGGATTTGCTCAACCTGGCACTGATTCTGCCCCGCAGGCAGGTTAAACCAGTGGAGAAAACACCAAAATGATTTCTCAAGGTGTAAATGGATTCGTGGAATTGGCTGCTTTACCAAACACCTTTAGAAAATTGTTCCCTTTCCACATGGTCTAAAGGGCTTCCTGATGTTTTGTTATTTTTATGGCAATTTCTCTGCTTTTGTGGTGCAAAATAACGAGGTATTTTCTTAGTCCTGTGTTTTAAATCCTTTCTCAGGGTGTGGCTGGTATGGACGGACAAACAGGTCCCAAGGGGAATGTGGTAAGTTTTTACTGCAAATTTCACAGACAGTTCACATGTTACATAGAGAAAAATGTAAAATGTACTCTATTAAATTTGATTTGCTAATTGCTTTTTAGCCTGGTCTAGATTCCTGTCAGAACCTGTGAAAACCACAGAGGGTATCTTCCTACAGCAAATGGATGTTAATTTATTGTAATTTCTGATGGAATTACATGTTATTTCCCCATGAAAGATCAAACATTTTCATTGAGATGTGTGTTGTTCTAATGAATATCAAAATATAGTAATTCAACTGAGGGGGAAGAAGAAAAACCTTTATGTGCCTCATACTTTGTACTAATCAGATGAAATGGACTCCCTGCAGAAGAGCCAGTGCAAAGCCAGGTTGTGTTAAAGCCCAGCTCAGCTCATTTGGGCTGCGTGTCCATGCAGAGAAGTGAGTGTGCGCTGAAGTAAATTTATTCCTCCCTATCCCACCATGGAGAGAAGCTGTTTCCCTTTCCCAGGAGCTCTCGGGTACCAGCGGAGGGTTAGAGAGGGTGTCGAGATGCTGCGAGAGGGTGCGGGGCTGCGCGGGGGCAGGAGCCACGGTGCCTGAGGAAGCACCGGCTCCGCGCTTGCCTTTGCTGCCTTCAGCTCTGCCCTTGTCTCCTCACAGGGTCCTCAAGGTGAGCCAGGTCCCCCAGGACAGCAGGGTAACCCAGGTGCTCAGGTAAGAGGAAAACTCCTTTTCAGTGGGTAGGAAAAAGGAATGATAATTTTGAATAAGCTTCAAATGCCCTGCCAGAGACAAGACCAGCAATATGGAGACTTGCTGGGAATTTGCTTGACGATACATGGCTGGCCCAAAATCTTCCTGAAAATGCTCTCAGTTTCAGATCCCCCTGGTTCTCACCTGGCTTTTGCTGCTGGGATGCACAGCCAAACCCAGGTCCAAGCAGTGTCTTCGGCCGAGCCGCATCTTGTGGCTCATGTCTGATTTTTAGCATCCCACGGTCCAGTTGCTCTGGAGCCAGATGAGTAATACAGATGTCCAAGCCTTGCTTTCAGCCTTCTCCACGGCTCTCAGCAAGCCTTTCTCCTCAGAGCATCTCTGTTTCCATCCTGGGGATGAGCCTGGCTGCACACGGCAGATCGGTGCAGCTCTCTAGAAGAGGCATGCCATGCAAAAATGAAATTTTTTCGTCTCTCACAAGACATTTTGAGAATGAATGGACCTGGGGAAATCCCCAGCCATCACAGGCACTAGAATGATGCTCAGCTGAGGCACTGCCAAAATGCATTTGGAAGGAATAACTTGTTCCTTAATGACTCTAGGTTTTTTTTTCCTTTCACAGGGTCTTCCAGGTCCACAAGGCGCGATTGGTCCCCCAGGAGAGAAAGTACGTTTAAATACTGCAGCTCTGACTTGAGACAACTGTTTCCATTAATATGGATTTGCTACTTCAGCTGCTCCTTTGCCCCATATGCAACATCTGTTTGCAGCCATGTCTATGAAAGTCTAATGTGTCCCATTCCAGACAGAAGAGAGACAAGAAAACATGGTTTACCTCTAATTCATAATATTTGCATTCATTTCCCATCTTAAGAGAAACATTTTGAAGGCATCCTATGGTAAAACATTAGGAGAAGCCTGAAAATTGTCTCTTTCTGTGGGCTAAATGCCTGGAAGTCTGAGCGGCATGGTAATGGGAAGAGCCCGTGGATTTGGCTGGCTCAGCTGAGATCCCCTCCCTTTGCCTCCTCCCTGCCTGCGCCAGCTCGCTCTGACTTTCCACTGCTGTTGATGTGGGGTAGGTGCTGGCCGTGGTTCCCCCAGGCAGCCCTGGGACCGTCGGGATTTAAACAAGGCGAATTGTTTTGCGTACAGAGCAGCAATTCTCTGGCTGTTTGCTCAGCTCCCGTTGGGTCGGGACGCGGCGTGTGCGCCGGGAGAGATCCCCTGTTTGTGTTGGCAGTGGGAGGTGGACTCAAAATTATTGATAATTCTCCTGCGAAGGAGCATATTAGCAGTTCTGCCAGATAAAGGGCTCTTGGGCTTCAGTGCTGAGTCACACACTCAGAACAGCAGTGGCACTCCTCGGTTGTGTGAAGTCACAGGGCTGCTTAATTAAAAAGGTAATCATTGAATGGTGTTAAAGCAGCAAGAACAGTCAATGGAGGCAGCTCCGCGCTTCCTTTGCCAGTTAATCGCCTTGCCATTTGTCACCAAAAAATAGGCATTTCTTGGTCCAGTGAGCCCTATGGTTTGATGTCCTCCAACTTGTGCTTATACACGTGAGCAGCATTGTGCCTTTTGCAGGACAGCAGCTTGATGCCTTAGGCCCTGGTGTCTCCTGCTGAGCCCTTGTTGCCGTATCGCATCTGTGTGAGGTGCTGGCACTAATGCTGCAGCATCCCAGGATGCAGAAATAAGCAGACTCCTGCAAGTCACGGCAGCTTTTCCAACAGACTTACCTCTATGCAGACTTTTGCAGCTAGGAAAAGAAAGAAATGTGTCTGAAAAGTCCCTTCCTGCAATGCTCTGGAGACTCTGACCATTGCCGCTGTTGTTTTTCTGTTTGTTTTTAGGGGCCGCTGGGCAAACCTGGTCTTCCTGGCATGCCTGGTGCAGATGGTCCTCCGGTAAGTTGTCTTTTCCCAGGTTTCTGCTTGGTGCCTGATTCTGCACCCATCCACCCTGGGGTGCACCATGGGCTTCTGAAGCATGTGAACCTGCAAGGTCAGGCTCACCCTGCCCATGTTTTGGCTGGGTTGAAGGTTTTGAGTTTCAGAAGCCCTGGCCCTGCTCCAAGCTTTGCTCAGCACAGCAGTAGGTACTTCTCACTTCTTTTTTTCCTTCCTTCCTTCTATTTCTCCTCTCTGGTTTTACGTCGGTTGGCAGTTCACCGAGGTAGGGATGGTCTCCTGCACGTGTGGTTATGCGTACCGTGCCACTGGCACGGGGTGGTCCTCATCTGGCTTGGGGCTGCTGGGCACTGCTGCAGAACAGTGATAAGAACAGGTTGAAATTGCATGTCAGTGTTGTATTCTTGCAGCTGCCTCCTAATCCTACTTTAAACATCATTTGCTCCTTGCTCTGGAAATTGCTCTTAAAAATCTTTGGCCTTTAAACCTGATCTCATTTTTACACACCTCAGAGGCACCTGGTTTTAAGAGTGACAAATGTAAAATAGTTACATTCCACTAATGCAAATGCAGAGCATGGGAAAAAAAAAAAAAAAATTACATTTCCCAGCCTGGGATTCTCATTGCTACGGAGGGCATTTTGAACATTCGTACAAGTATTAGCTGAGTCAACAGAGCAGCTAAAGTGAAGCCTGGAACATCTCTAAGTCTGTAGCTTTCGATGTGAAATTCCTACAGCAGCCTCCAGGGAAGTTCAGCTGGAGAAGATGCCAGGTCTATTTTTATGCAGACTGAAGGCTGTCTAATACCTGCAAAGCTGAGCATGTGTGGGTCTGCATGGACACAGGTCCTTGGCCACGGGTAGCCATGTAGTTTACAGATACTTTGTAGGTTTGTAAGCATATGGGTTGCTCTTTCTAAGGACAAAACCACACCTGTGTTCTCCTTACAGAAATTGCTCTTAGAAGACATTTGAAAATCCCTGAGGGCCTGAAGCATTTTGCTGCAAAAGCCAACAAAGTTGCTCATCAATTTTTGATCCTAGTAGCAGTAATGGAGATGGGCATTTTGAAAGTGGTGATGATTTAGTGTAGAGTGTGGACAAGGGCTTTTGAAATCTTGCTGCACTTCCATTTTGGCTCCCCTGGGGTGCAGGGAGATATCAGGAGCTGAAGGCAAGCATGGTTAGATGACACCCTTTGTGCACTGATGCTCTTGGTGCTATTTTAACTTACAGGACAAATTCAGATTGCATTTTCTCCTATGTTTTGTTGATGTATAAATGACGGCTGTCATTTTGTTTCTTGATTAAACCACCGTGTTTTATGAAATCCAGCTTGTCTGACATTCCTGTTCTGAAGACTGATGATGGAAAATAGTCCTATGATTTTACTTGTTATATTGCTAGAAAGTCTTTGGTGTATTTAGAAGGGAGTTCATAAGTAAAGAAACCATTGAGTGCAGAAGGTCTTGGTGGCTTAGAGCAGCTGGATGTGCTCTCATCATCTTCATAAAAGAAAAGGTCCCTGGGTGTGCAGTGAGTGCCCTCATGGAGGGCTTATTGCTTTTGTACACACATTGCTAACCAAAGACTCATCGTCCATCCTGGCTCCATTTTGGTTCCAACAGTAGGAAAATCAACACTAAAAACTACTTCCATGGATTTCCCCTGTTTCTCACTAATCCATAAGTGACTATCTATCACTAAGCTATACCTGAGGCAATTCACACTTTTGTTTTCTACTGACTGCAATCCTAGCAAAAGGCTTCTAAAGGCTATGAATGAGAATGTGTTGGAAACTCTTGAATGCTGAGTTATTCAGCATCAAATCCCAAGAGGAATGCTGGCCAGTGTCCAGCCAGACGGCGTCTAACAGGGATGCAGGTTAGCTGAGCATTTGTCATGAGATCTTGTAATGGTCTCTAGGAATTAGGAAACTAATGAGGGGGTCTGGGCATCTTGTGACCTTCACAAGTTTGCTAACACACGGAGTTAATTTCATCTGTTTTCCTATCTGCAAAATTTATATGCTGCTTGCTGCTGAACTCACTGAGGTGTTCTAATACATGAAAAATATTGCAAAATGGTTTGTGTTTCTCTGCTGAGAGGTGGTGAAGAGTAAAAGTGTAAAATAGCCAGGTAGAATACTACCAAGGACCCAAAAGCAGCTCTCTTCCTTTTGGGGAAAGCTTGCTCTTGCAAGTTGGCTTCAGGGGGGCTATTTGTATCAGTAAGAGCTTCCTGGAGAGCAACTGTTCTCTTACAAATAAATCATAGCTGCCTGAGTGAGCTTGTCTACTGAAGCATTAGATGTGCATTAAACCCATTTCCCTCTTTTCTTTGTCTCTTTTACTAATAGGGTCATCCTGGCAAGGAGGGTCCTCCTGGAGAGAAGGGCAGTCAGGTAGGTGTCAACAAGATCCTCATCACTGCTAAGGGGAAGGTCACAGTAGGTGGATGGAGACAGATCTCCATGGAGCTCTGGGGATGGCCGGGCAGCCAGGGGATGTGGGTCAGTGGAGGTGTCAAGAAGCAAACCCTGTTGAAATTTGAAAGCTGAGCCCAGCTTTCATCTGCTTGGGAGTCTCTTCTGGTGCTTGGGCTGTTTTTTTCTCAACTCCTCCCAGCTTTCCTGGCAAGCAGCGCTCCATAGCCCAGTGGACATGAAAACAGACTGTGAAGGGAAGCGTTCTCTTTATCTGACACAAATAAATATCCTTTGTGGCATAGAGAATGCAGAAAATAACTCTTTTTGTATTCTTGATCTTCCTTTTTCTTCCCTTCCCCCTCAAAGTCCCTCTTTAACAATATATTTGAGAATATTGCTGGAGGCTAGAGTCCTTGAATTATACAGTCATCCGTCTGTCTGGGAGATTTACCATCTGCATTTCCACTGTGTCCCATTCAGTTGAAAAACATTACATTTGTCAGAAGTCTTTGATTAGACTGCAGTCCAGTTTGATGGACGTCCACTTGAGCCTTGCTTGGGTGCTGCACGGAGCATAGCCCATGGCCGCAGCCGTTTGTCCCACTGGCATCGCACGAGGCCAAGAATTCATATGTTGGCCTCTGCAGAATATAAGAAGCCAATAAGGGTTTGTGCCAGTGCTCCCTGTGCTGGGAGACGTTTAGCAAACGTCAGGGAGGTGATCTCAGAGCAGCACTGGTGCTGTGGGTCTCCTCCAGCCGACACTCGTGCGAGGTCTGGCGTGCTGGTGGACCGGTCGGCTCCGTCTGGCTGTCAGACTGGAAAAAAATTGTCCATCTCAGGCTGGGAGAAGTGGAGGCATATTTGTGTAGTTAGGGAATTGAGCAAAATAAAAGTCAACTGGAGTCATGATTTATTTGCAGGTAAAAGACAGCGTGGCAGCGAGGGTGGGAAGGAGAGTTTTTGCAGGGTGCATGTCGGGTGCTGTGTCTAGCGCAGTTCATGGTGTCCCTGGGGATTTGCAGCTTTCAGTGCCAGAAAGGACTTTTGTGAACATCTCCCCTCCCACATAGCTGAGACCACAGGACATCACCCCAAGGCTTGTGCCTCAAGCAATAACTCCTCTCTGTGATCATCGTCATCACAAGCTCTTCTGCATTACTGCAAAACCAGGATGGTTTGGAAGGGGGGAGACAGCAGAACATGTTCTTCCTCAGAGAACTTGTTCTTTTCTTTAATGCAAAACACAAATCATCAGCCTTATGTATAAATCCCCTTTCTAACAAGTTGTTGCTATCCTGACTCTTCTCGTTCTCCTTTCCTGTTGTATGGATCTTCACTCTTGGCCCAGTGCACCTGCTTGGGGTGATGTTCCTGTAGCTCTGTGCTATTTTTGAGCTATTTTCAGCTGGCCACTGCCATTTCCACCCGGTCTGAAGCAACTGGATGCTGGAATATTTGTTTTCCACACACCCTCCTTACTACTGAACCTTTGTGTTGATTTTTGTTGATTTTTTTTTTGTTTGTTTGAATGTTTTTCACCACAGGGTCCACCAGGTCCTCAGGGCCCCATCGGTTATCCAGGACCACGCGGAGTCAAGGTAAGGAGGATGCAGAAACAGCATCCATGGTGTTGCTTGTTCAACTCAATTTCTCTGGCTTGTGCTGGAGGCGGACACTGCCAGTGGGCATAGATGCCCTACCAGGGCACTTAGGGCCACCTCAGTGACCAACTGTATTTATCACTTGAGCAAGCCTTGGTCCAGCATCTTCTCTCAGGCCACGAGGATTACAAGCCCCCTGCTCTCCAGTAACCCCTCCTAGCGTTGTTCAGCGCTTTGGAGAGATTTCTCTCTTAATTCTTCATGAGCATGGCTGAGTCCCATTCCAATTGTTTCCAGTTTACAACCAAAGTAAATCTCAGCCAGAATGTGAAGACTTTAAACAAGGCTTGTTAATAAAACAAAATATCCTATTACTAAAACAAAGCAAGCTTTTCATGCTCCTGATCCAAAACCTTGTTAGATGAAGCTTGTGCATCTCAGCAATGTGTTTTTTCACTAGATTGAATTCCAGCTCTTTCCTTGCTCCTGCTGCCTGCAGTGCTTGCACGCTGATAAGGCGGCAGTGGGTATTTTTTCCTCCTTCAGCTGCTATGCCCATCAAGATGTATTAGTTCAGGTGCAGATGCATCCTGCATCCCAAAGGTCCAATGAATCTGCAGGGATCTGTGCTAGCAGATACAAGCACAGCTTGGGGACTGGCTATAGGTGAAGTTAAGCCCTCTTAAACCCCCTTGTATATTTTTTCAATAGCAGAACCCCATTTGCTGTTCTGCCTTCAAAATTTAAGCTGGATGTATTTAGCCAAAGCAAGCTTACAGCTCATTTCTTGCAAGGCTGCAGATTGAGACTAAGTGGTCAATTAGGGAGTAGTTTGCTGTTGTGTTTGCTGCTAAAGTGGAACTGTTCCACATTAGAAACATCTAGAGAAAGTGTGTCACACACCAGACCTGTAGCATGTACCAAGAAGGTTTTGCTTCCTACAAGCAGCGTTCTATTAACTGCATGAGCCTCCAGTTCAGGGAAAAAAATGCATCTCATTGGGTTTGCCGCTATAAGTAACTTTTAGATCTTTCCTCGCTCACCAGAACCCTGTCCTGCTGCACAAATTTTGGTGTACTCTAATTAGACTTTCTCTTGACATGCTAAAGGGAAGAAAAAAGATTAAAATATGCCAAGCAAAATATTATTCTTCAAAAAAAAAAAAGCTTCTGTTTTTTATTGTAAGAGTTGCATTGTGCAGTACAGCTGGTGTAGATACCTGAGGGTGACTTTTTATCCCAAGAGGCAGGATAGATGGGAAGCGTGGGGCTCCAACAGGTTTGGGCTGGTGGCAAAGCAGGGGGCAGATCCTGACCACACTCAGCACCCCCAGGCTGAACACCGTGCCTTGGTGAAGCTTTGAAGGGCTTCTGCACAATGTCACAAATGCCCATGCCAGTCTTGTTACTTTTTTTTTTCCCCTCTTTTTGGTGGTTAAATGTATTTTTACAAAAATTGTGCATGTGCAGAGGTGAGCACCATGGTAAAAAAGAGCCAAGCTTAACTTTAGGGGGTGTTCCATGCTACAGAGCAGCATGGAAATCTCTGGCTATGTGCTCAGAGATTTTAAAATGGTTTCGCTTCCCAAGTGTCCGCGCACAGCTTGAGCACTGGTTTTTCCGTGAATACTCAAGTGAACTCAGAATGTTGGCAGGGCATTTGTGGAAATGTTCTTCTGGAAAATATACGCAGAAAAAACTTTTTATAGTGAATTTTATCCCTGGAAACATAATTCCTGGGCAGGGAATGGGCAGAGACCACCAACCCCACCAGCCAAATCAAATCCACAGAGGTCTGTGACTAAAGACACTCACTGCTGGCCCAAAATCCCGACATCAGTGGCTGATATTTGATTAGCAATATGTTTAGGAACATCACAGTTTGCAGAGATACCATTGTCAACATTGGAGGAAGCAAAAATCACCATGATTAATGACTCTTCACTCTTAAGCTTACCTATACCCTTGTAACATCTTGTTTTATCTCCTGCAAGGGAGCAGATGGCGTTCGTGGATTGAAAGGCACCAAAGGTGAAAAGGTGAGTTAAGACCATACATTTGGATTGATTTTCTACAGCCTCGGAGCATTTTTGCAGACACTTCCTGTGACATTTTCTTCTGCATGGGGATTTCTCTTAGACGAGCAGGGGCTGAGCACCCAAAGGCCTGGGAACCTCTTTATTTTTGGAGCGGGTGCAGACTGGGTGCCTGCTATGATGTTCTGCCATATCTTGCTTTGGATCTGGGAGTAACTGAGCCTCCATGGCATGCTCCGGTTTGGAGCTGTTTGCTGAGGCCAGCCATTACTGACAGCTCAGAGCCCAACGTCGGGATGATTTCCTCCTGAGAAAATTTGCAGGTTGAATGATTTAGCGAAGCTGAAGGGTTTCTGGTGTGTTATAGCTGGATAACAGTATATGGGATATGCTGCCCTGCCCAGTCATCAGAGCAGCTTGTGAAACCCAAGTCAATAAGAAAGTCAACACAATCTCTGCATGTCTCAAAGATGCAATCAGTTTATCCCAGAAGAAGAGCAGGAGGTGCAGTAAAATCTTGCCCGGTCCTGTAAACAGATGTGTGTTCCTTCATTCCTGCCCGCAGCAAAACCAGCAGTTTTAGCTAGGGAACCCTGGCAGGCACCTTCCAAACTCTAAAAGTCTTTCTGGGAACTGTGACTTCATTGCCTATGGGAGATTTGCTGTAGGATGAAATATATTATTGATTTGAGCTCTGTAATTAAACCTTCTTGGCTGAAAGAAGTATTGCCACTGTCCTAGAGGTTGCCTTGAAGCATGGTGTAAAACATCCTCCATGAAAATAAAACCAGTTGTACTTCAGAAATAATTGGTTCCCAGTACTGGCAAGGTGGTGTTACTCGCATTGAGACAGATTTGTGATCTTGACTTGCAGCCAGGACGGGATGTAGGGAATACTTGCTGTGATCTCTTGGGGACCTTGGCCGTCGCAGCCTGGTTGGGTTTCCATGCATGTTTGTGCACACCAAAGACTTACAGAGCCAGTGCGATGGGCAGTCGGGGACCTAATTTTGTCCCCTCCTGGTAGGGGCTATACAGTGAGGCTAAAGAAGCCTTTTTTCCATCTATACACCTTGTCTGTTTTTTCCCTCTCCATTATTTAGGGAGAAGATGGTTTCCCTGGCTTTAAAGGTGATATGGGCATCAAAGGAGACCGGGTAAGAGTCTATGACTGATGTGATCTTGTAGTGCTTTGCCTTTCAAGCCCGTGTGGTGTTATGCAAACGCAAATCAGGGAGAGACACTCTTGTCAGAGTCCTTCTGGCACGTCTGATCTCGAGACAGAAACTCAGGAATTTCATGTTCGTATCAAGCACAGCAGTTGTAAATCCCTAAATTTGCTAGTCCCACCTTGAAGGTAAAATAAAACTGAGTGATAATAGAGGGCCTTGTCTTTCTGCTTTGGTTGCTAGGAATACTGTGTGATCCAGCTGTATCATATATTTATTTCCAGTATCTCTTTTCCCCTGTAATATTGTATCTAGCGTCTGATAGGCATCTTTATTTGCTGAGCCTAACGTGCTTCCATACCATCAGTGTGAAGTGTAAAGCTACCAGGAGCACACTTCAGTAGAAACCGAAGCAGCGCTGTGAAAACTGCCCGGCGTGGAGTGTTATATTAGACTCGTATCTGCAGGAGCAGGGCACATTGCCTGGTCACAAAAGCTTTTAAAATCAGTGGAACTCACAGACCACCGGAAACCCCAGATCATGCTCGGAGGTGGGCAGCGGCTGCAGCCCATGGTGTGTCTGCCTGTCCTCCACGCCCAGCCTTTGGGGCAGGGGGCTGTCCTCGTCCCCTCTCCCAGTGATGCATCGCCTGGGGCTTGGTGTGTCTCCCTGAGCTCTGAAGCCCTCCCAGGGATCAAGAGAGCTCTGCTGTCATTCATCCCTGTGTTTAAAGGAAAAATGAATACCTTGTGTGAAGGCTTGTAAAAGTAGAAATCAAATCCTCCATTTCTCCTGGTGTTTAACTGTGTAACTGAATAGTTAAAATAATTGGAAAGTTCCCCAGCCCCCAGTTCTCACCAAGGAAGAAGGACCGAAGGTGGCATCTCAGGGAGGTGACTCCTGTCCTTGCCAAATGCAGACAGACTTGAGCTCCTTCAAACAAAGCTCACGACTCCAGTTCCCACCAGCAAGTTCTTTGTGCTTTGTGATGAGCAATGAAAGGACAAGGGGTACTCGAGATAAATCTACATCTACTCAGCTTCTGGTGAGCGAGAAGAAGGCTGCCTGTGTTCGCAGCCTGGAAGCGTCTCCTGTTACCCCGCTTGACAAAACGACAACTGTTGTTTTGTGTGCCGAAGCCTGCAGTGTCACAACAATTCACGTTAATAGCTTGGTCCGCCCGGCGCTCGGATTTCCTAATGATTTTCAGCACAAAAGCTCCAGCCCAGTCTTTCTTCTCCAGTTGCTCTATTCAGCCCTCAATTAAACGCTTCCCAGGGCCTGCTTGCACATCAAACTGGGATTTGGGAGCCGGGAGGGTGGGTAAAAGGGTGCGTTGCAATCAGAGCTACTGAAGGCTGTTTTGGCGGAGAGGCGCTGCGTGTAGATGCGATAATTGGGCCACAGGAAAAGATGGCTGTTGGAGGTAATGGCCAGACTGTGTGAATGAAAGCTGGGTGCTCTAACAATGCTCTGTAATTTACTCAGCGACAGTCTCGTCTGAGCCTCCTGGTGAAGACCAGTTTTCTCCAGGAGTTGTATTAGCAGCTCCATGGAGTATCTGACTGCAGCTGTGAGAGTATTACTGTCAGCAAACACGGGGTCTGGGGCCTACCTGCCTTGTAAATGCTTGTCTTGTGATTAACAGGGAGAAATTGGACCTCCTGGCCCCCGAGGTGAGGATGGTCCTGAAGGTCCCAAAGGTCGCTCTGGCCCCAATGGAGATCCTGGTCCTCTTGGTCCTGCTGGAGAGAAGGTGAGTCTCAAGGATGGAATTGCCCAGGGATGCCACTTTTCTTTGGGTGTCTCGGGTGGGTGGCTGAGGAAGTGCCTGGGGGAGGGGGCAGTTTGAGGGCAGAAGGGTGAAGAGGATCTGCAGGAGCTTTGTGTGAAGGCTGGCCTGAGTTGTTCAACACAAAGACCAGAGGAGACCCATAGCATTGGTTTTACTGCAGCGGTGTGACTTGAGCATGTGGAGACGTTGGTCTCTTTGGGGTTATCTGCTTGGGTACAATGGCTTGAAAAAAAGACCAGAGGAAAAAAAAATGGAGAAATTTAAAGTATCGTGGACTCCAGTTTATTTTCTAGGTGCATCCACTTGGAAACAAACAAACAAAAAAAAACCCCCAAAAAACAACTAAAGAAAAAAACCCCACAAACTAACCATTCCCCATGGGGTCCCCGACACGTTTACAGTGCTGACTCTGCATCAAACCCACTGGGCTTCCCTCAGGGAGGGCAGAGGATGATCACAGTGCCCTGACAGCTTTATTCCACCCATGTCATGTCTGCTTTGCTCTTGACTTCTCTGCACTTGGCATCTCCCCTTTCTCCTGGTGCAAACCTGGAGCTGCTCGCCAGGTCTCTCTTGCCTGCGCTGACATGCTTCTCTTTGTGTTTCAGGGAAAACTCGGCGTGCCAGGACTGCCCGGCTACCCAGGCAGGCAGGGCCCAAAGGTAACTTGGTCGGGCTGAGTCCCTGAGCGGTGCGGGCTGCGCTGGGGAGCCCAGCGGACGCCAGCTGAGCTCCCATGGTGGTACCACGCAGAGGGCTCAGCCCCTGCTAACGGGATGAGGTGGAATGGCAGCATTTCCCACCGCGCAGTCCCTCCTTCCCACCCACGCAGGACAGATTTATAGATGGCTAAAAATAGCTCCCAGCCTTTAGCTGGTGGAAATCGGTGGCTGGTTCTGCACCGCTTCCATCTCCTGCCAGCCGGCGGGAAGAGATGCGGTGGGACAGGGGCTGCAGCGCGCGAGGGCGTGCAGGGCTGCTTTGGTGGCGGGTAGAAACAGGCTCCATGCGAGCTCTCATGCTAGTAATAGGCATAAAAGCCCTTCTCCTTGTATTATGTTTTATATCTTCAAAGCTCTGCACTGGTGTTAACTAATTAATTAAAGAGGATAGCTAATGAATCAGGGTCTTCCTGAAATTAAAATACAACTGCCATTTGCAGATTTGCAAACATCCTTTGTCTCTTATCTACACACCCACCTTCACTTGGGCTATTTTTGAATGTTCTTTTTACATTAAAACTGTGAATTCCACTACACAGACTAAGGCTGCAGCCTGCAGGTTTTTACACGCCCCGGAGGCTTTGTGAACTTACGTTTTTGTTAACATTTTTTTTTTTTTTTTAAGAATCATATTTTATTATTCGTGTTCATGGCTTGAAAAAAAAAATCTGGTTTAACACTGGAGACATAATTATCTGCAAGAGATTGTTTCCTGGTTGTGGTGTTGATGGTTCATTTTATAATTTGCATTTTATATCTGGGGTAGATTTTTTTTTTTGCACTTCTTCAACTAATTCATATTTTAAAAGCAGCAGCAGCTATTCTCCAGGCACTCACATCAGAAGGAACAAACCAGGAGTTAAATTTCCATGTGCAACATACAGTGACTTAGGAGCTAAAAAACAAAAACCTGTCTGTTCCCCTGGCACCTGGTACAACCGTGGGCTTGGGCCTTTGCCGTGACTCCTAACGAGACATGGACCTTTTTTTTTATTGTTTTTGGATGAAGTTTAGTTTCTGAGGTCATTTCGGGTCTGTCTTCAGTTTTATTTTTATTAAAGGAGGGTTAAAAAAAAAAAGGCATTAGGAGCTATAGACGTCAGCGGGCACTCGCTGGGGGTTATTCCAGGCCAGCAGGCGCCTGGCATGGATGGACAGAGCTGCCCCTTTCAGTGTCTTGAACCGAAAAAAACCGCTCACTCTCTCTTTGCTCTTCCCCCAAGGGCTCAATCGGCTTCCCAGGATTTCCAGGAGCCAACGGAGAGAAGGGCACACGGGTAAGAGCTGCTTTGCTGGTTTTTTCTCTCCAAAGAAAGGTCTTTGGGCAGGACTTGGGGAGCACTCCGCTGTGGGCAGCTGCTGGGCTGGTGCTCTGGTTGCTTTTTCATGAAGGGGTTGCTCCAAGAAGGGTCATCCCACCCGCTCGCATCCCAGGATGAGGTCCCCGGTGCAGGGAGTGTGGGACTGGCAAGAGCCTGGAGCAGGCAATAGGCTCCCGATGCCGGCTGTTGGGAGAGGAGAATGCCAGTAACAGCACAGTCAGCCCTTGCGGACAGCAGCTTTCCAATTAAACACGGGAAATTTTTCCCTCAAGATATTTTGAGAGATTTCGCTGAACCAGAATCCTTCCTGCGCTGTCAGACTTTGCTCAGGGCACGAAGAGGTTTTTAATTAACAGTAACTATTAGAGATGGGTGAATCTGTTCAGAAGCAGCAAGAACCATCTTTAGCCTAACTTGAGGTTCAAAATAGCTGAAAACACCTTTACAAGCTCCTCCTTTTAATAAGTGGAGCTATTCTAAATTCATAAACACCCTTAAAACGTGGGGGCTCTCTCCTCCAGACTTGTCTCTATCTCTCGGCCCCACCTCCACAGGCTTTGCTCCTGAGTAGGGATTGTCTGAATACACTGTTGGGTTTTTTTTAATTTTTTTTTTTTGTGAAAGACATGCTTGAATTAGGGGATTCAGTCTACAAATACAAAGTCATTTTCTGCATCAGCTCTGGTCACAGGGAAAAAAAAAAAAGGAGGGAGCAAGGAGTGCGAGTGGAATTAGTTTCCTTTTTACTCTCATTTAAATACAAATGACTTCGAACAGATGTGTTTGATAGGAGCCCAGAAAATATAAATCACCTTGCACTGCATTAATATCATGCCACTGAAATTTGGTTTATATCCAACCTCCTTTTTTTTTTTTTCCCCGCACCAAGTAATTTTCATTTCATTCTGAACTACAAACACGGCATCCTCTCCCCTCCCTTTGCTCCGGGCGGGAGGAGGGAGACCGTGAATTAGGCAGCTGCCGTGACAGCCTTCAATTCACTGTAGCCCTATAATTACCACCCACTTTATCAAATATACAGCAATAAAATCCTTGGGTTGGATTTTTGGGTGGCGTAGAAAGGGCATCGGCACCGCAGCGGGGCGGAGACATGTTGGTTTGCATCCATGAGCATCTGCATCCTTCTTGCTCCATCTGCTAATTTTATTCTGGTGGGATGGAGAGCCAGACTGCTGGGATGGGAAACCTTTCAGGGAGCGGAGCAGGTACCAGGAGCTGGTTGTTCATGAGATGGGAAAAAGCCCCCAAGGGTTAGGCTGGTTGGATTTTGGCGATGCCCAGCCTGAAAGGGATTGAGGAGGGCAAGCGCACTGGGAAGGGGCCCAACTTTAGGCCCAAGGCAATGATGACAAGACAAAAGCAGCAGTTTGCTCGTTTTTACTTTAAATGAGCTGTGTGCTCCTAGGAGGAGGTAGCGAGGACACTTGGTTACACACACACCCCCCCCCACCCCCGGCATGCCACACGTATCTTCAGTTTGGGAGTTGAAAAGGGTTTTTTGCATTTCAAGCCCAGCCTGGAAGGAGACGGGGCAGCTTGTGCTGTCCTGGCTTGGGAGCTGAGGCACATCTGGGCCAAGACGGACTCCGGAGCATGCCGTGGCGGGGCTGGCACCGCTGTGCCAGCAGCCCAAAAACCCCAGGGGTAAAGGAAATGGGAATCTGGGGAGAAATGAGGGGGTTTTGTGTATGGGGAGCAGGGCAGGGGCTGGCACCTCGACCTCTAAGGGGGAGCACAATCTGGCATGCCTCTGTCAAATAGAAATATGTTGATTTATTTCATGGTAATTTAATTTTTTTTTTTTTCCTCTCCATTGTGTCATTGGACAATTTCTGCCATTTTACACCCAATGCAGCAGCTTGCACTTGTTTTATCGGTATATTGGTATGTGAGAGAGAGGGGGAGAGGTAGAGAAGATTTTCATGGACAAATCTCTCCTTTAGTAAAAGGAGCCCAGCTTGAAATTTTTTTAAGAATAGCAGAAATACTGTTTTTCAGTGACTGTTTTAGTATCCTCCTTTATTTTGCTCCCAAGTATCCAATTTGAAATAAGTGAAAAGCACTTATATTCAGAACCGTAGACTGAGCTGGGATCACACCACAAACCAAATGGAGACCATCAATTTAATTTAAGCCTCGTTGAGTTAGACTTGATAAATCCTGCTCTGTTTCTCCCAAGACCACTAAATTTGCTATTTCGTGAGCATGTCCACATATAGTCAAGAAAGAGAGGTTAGAAGATCTGCTTCTCCAGGGCATTGTGGAGTAACCCAATTAGCAGCTGAAATAACCAAAAATCATCTGTTTGTCTTTTTTTTCAAGGTGTTACTATTATGCTATTCAACACGGTTGTTTATGTGTCCAAAATACTATGAATCACACGTTTCTCTTACGATTGTCATCATCTAGGATTTGAAATAAGCTTTGCAGCTCATTATTTCACCAGCACAAGTAGCCTTCCCAAGTTCTTACATAATAAGGAAAAGGTGAGAACCAAAGGCAGAAGAGCAATACCAACAGATCCTGCCGGCATGGGCAGCTGGATGTTGGTGCTGGCAGAGCCTTGCAGCACTAAAGCCCCCCAAACCTGAAACAGCAGCTTCTGGCTGTTCAGCTGCACAAAAGGGCTGGTAAAGTTAAAAAGAGGGGCAGGGGAAGGATGTTTGGGGGTTTTGGAGAAGTGTAACTTGCTAAATATCAGGGTAGTTTTGGCGAGCGGCAGCTCATCGTGGTGCCGGTTATCACCCAGCTGCCTGCAACTGGAGGTGAGCTTGGGTGAGCTTGCTTGGGTGTTTTCAAAACCTGATCGTAAAATCAATAGTTAGACGTGAATAAGTGGTCTTATTTTTAGAGTTAATAGGCTTCTGCCATTAGCATGGGGTAATAGATCTCCTTGCTCACCCGTTCTGACGGAGCCCGGGGAGTGCGTGGAGGTACCGAAATCCAGACCATTTATCTGAGCGCCTAGGAAATAATCTGAATTTAGGTGCCTCTCCCTCGCTATCCCTGTTGGAAAAATATAGGTCTGTGTACGTTTACAGTGCTATATAAATTCTTCGCAACAGTACACAGTGCTGTATGCATGATTAATGATAGCAATAAGCAGGGGGAAAATTTGCTTAAAAATAGAATTGAGGAAGGAGGAGAGGAGGGGGGGTGCTACCTGCAGGGAGGTGGTCCTCTCCACCTGCTCTGAATTTAGCCTCCCATAGCTAAAGGAAAACCAGCTGCAGTACTTTTAAATTATTTTTGTAATTAATTAAAAAAAGGTATGCCAGCAGGGTTTGTTAAATGGAGCCACAGAACAAGGAAGGTACAACAGGACTAATTTTAGTAGCATGAAGAAAGTTGATTATAAAGTTTTCCAGCTCCTGTTTTATGTTTGCTTGGTTAATGAGTGCCAAATATGAGAAGGCAAGACTGTGAGATGATCGATTTGGGGCAGAAAATGGCAAGTGATATTTTAAGCATTCCATGTTCCTTACATAGAAAGCAAGTCTTTCTTTTCCTTCCTTTAACAGGTGATTGGTAGCAATAGTGCACTGCAGGTCCAAAGGAGGAAAGTTAAACCTATGGGTATTTTTTTTGGTAACTTGACACTTAGCCAAAATAGCGTCTTCAGGGAGCAAGCTCTAGGCCATTAGTTTTCTTTTAGGCGCAGGGTAATGGAGCTTCACGTAATGCCAGATTTAGGACCCAGCCGTCTCTGTCTGTCTTCTGTCAGAATTAATCACAGTCCCCCATTACAGGAAGCTGAGTGCATCTGTCAGATCTCATAAGCCTGCTGCTTTGTCGCTGCTGCAAAACAATGTCTTAAATTACTTGTTTAGCACAAAGTTCACAGAGATGGAGAAAGATTTGTAAATATGTGGGGCAGCTTAATTGGCTTGTGTGGCATAAAATAACTGCTCAGAGCAGGAACCCTGCTCTGCTGCTGTCATTCCTTAAATATTTAACAGTACAGGTCTTGCAGCATGCGTGTACATCGGGGTGAGCCAGCCTGCCCTGCTCCCAGCCCGGGCAAGGACCAGCCCTTCCCCACCTCAGGAGCTGGGTGAAGGGACAAGCGGAGACCAGTGGGAAAAGGGATTACAGGTTTTGGGGTGGCAGAGTTGAAGAGCTTTTTGCTGGCTTTTTAGGAGACTGCCTGGTCTGAGTGGGTGGCCTCATCTTTGAAAGTCTTCGTAGTGTTTTAAAGGACTTGGGATATTTTTTCTTAAGAGATTCTTTCCCTCAGATGGTAGATGTTGTCTGGGCGTTGGGACTACCGTCCAGCCGTGCCCAAGGCTTATAAATGAAAATAAATACACGAATTGGGAGACGAAAGGAAATCTGTTGTTGTCCTTTCCATTACAAATAAGAACCAGAGAGGTTTTGGGGGCAGCTTGTGTGCAGTAAGCTCTGTTGCGGGTTCATCTGCTGCGAGCTCAGCCTGCGAAGCTGGCCGCTAACTCTTCTTCGTTTCTTTTTCCTTCCAGGGGACACCTGGCAAGCCAGGCCCAAGGGGGCAGCGCGGTCCAACGGTAACGATCCATTTCTTCATTCTTGTGCATTTTTGAAAACTTCTTAAGGCCGGGGAAAGTGGGGTCCGATTTTTGCCCTCACTGGGTAGGATCTGGCCTTCAGCAGTTAAAGCTAAGTAGAGGGGACACAGTGATTTGGGGCTGGGGCTTACCAGTGAATGTGGTTTAAAGTTACCAGACCTCCAGTGGCAGTGATGAAGGCTCCTGTCATCCCCTTGCTGCTGGTGGGACGACTCAGTGACCTGGTGAAACTACAGGGCGCTTGGGTGCTTTGCCTGATCACAGTGTCATGCTGTGGGTAGCAAGAAGGACTAAAATGTTGTCTTTTGTGTCTTTTTAAGGGTCCACGTGGGGAAAGAGGCCCTAGGGGAAGCACTGGGAAACCTGGCCCAAAGGTAAGGTTTTGGGGAGCCTAGTGGAGTTGTGTCCTAAAAAGTGCTGGTGTGAGAGACCGTCTGGTTCATTGCCCTCCATTTCCCTTCTCTCCTGATCCTCGCCGCCCAGCCAAATGGCTCATAACCCACCCGTAAAGTACACGCACAGATCCTAAAAATGTGTTGGCCCATGTTTCACAGCAGGACATCAAGTGCATACACGAATTAAGAGCCATTGCAACCAGAAGGGGAGGGAGCACCCCCACATCAGAGACCAGCACAACCCTGTGATCCACTGACGCTTCCCCTGCGCCCTATTTTTTAGTGTTTAAGTAACATTGGAACCGCCTTAGGCTGTGCCATGGGTGAAGGGGCACGTATTGCTGCTGGGCTCCAGAACCTTGCACTTTGCCGAACCGCTTTGCATGCACACTGTTGGCCCATGATTGGTCAACTGGGCAAAATAGGTATTTCTCTGCCAGCCAATCTGGAGGCACATGCAGCTCCAGAACCTGCTGCAGAGACCGATTAAGTGACCATCAATCGCCGGGCGTGATGGAAGCAAAGCTTTTGTAGGGAGACGTTGTCAGCACCGTGCTGCCGGCTTTAAAAATAAATGTCTTAGCTTTGTGTCGGCATGAATTTTTGATAAATACCTCATCTTTGCAGCGGCGTTTATCTCTCAGAGGGAGGCCATTATCTGGTGGAAATATCCTGAGCTCACTGACGTTATCTTTCCTGTATTTTTATGAAGTGATGTGGGGGGAACAAGCAGCTGCTCGTTTGTTGCTGGGTGCTGCTCCTGATACGGAATTATTGATAGAGAGGGGCCGGGGGAGCTGGTGGGGTGTGTTGTCACCATGGGCTTGGTGCCTTTTGAAGTCTTTGTGCAAAGCAGCTGCAATGGTGATATATATGTTTTTAATGGTGTGTTGTTTTGTTTATTTGTGAAAGGGCAACTCTGGTGGTGATGGCCCCCCTGGTCCTCCTGGCGAAAGGGTAAGGCAAACTGGTGGGGCTAAAGCAGGACTCAACCTAAGCCATCAAACACGGCAGAGGAGGCGGGTTTGCAGGGCTGAGATGGCGCTGAGGGTTTTTTGCAGCGAGCATCCTACCAAGTACCTGGTTAAGCAGAGAGGGGTGGGCAGATCACAGGAGCCAGGATGCAGCTTATCATATCTCGGTCAGCAAAAAGGAAAAATCTGTTTGGAAATACAAGATGAAATGTGCTTGTGTGGAGAGAGGTCTCGCAAGTCATCTACGGCCCTTAGGTCTTTTCTGAGCTCTCCAAGGAAGGCTGGAATGGGACCTTGGGTGTCCTGTGTAAGCATCGCTCCATGGGAAAAGGGAAGAGTCACCCATGGGTTTTGTGCAGACAGCCAGAGCCCTGGTGTTCTCGAGGAGGTGATCCTCTAGGACTTCATGCTGCTTTCTCCAGATTACAGCATGCTAGGTGGAAAATACTGAAACAATGGGACTTTAGCCTCAATTTCTGCTTTTTTTTTTGAGTTTTGTTTTTTTTTGTAAATTTTTTATAAAATTGCCCAGGGAGGAAATACATGAAATAGGTGCCAGCTTTGTGTCTGCTGGGTGACCGCAGGGGCGAGGGGGGAGCTGCTGCTGACGCCACTCCGGAGAAGCAGCGCTCTGAAGAGCATCAGCTGCCTTGCAGCTCTGGCCCCAAAGCCACCGGCCTCTCTTCTTTTTCACTCCTGCACAAGGTGGCAGCTCCCAGGTGCACTCACTTAGCTGGGATGGGAAAAGGTCTATTTTTCATAGCACTGGGAGGGAAAGGCACAAAGCGGTTGATAGCCCTCTTCACGTTTGCAGTGCTTTTTGCAGCTGGCCAGGCTCCTGGGTTAAAAATGCCTACTGTTTCTTACCTCTCCATTTTTTCAAGGCATGGCCCCATGCAGCTGCATCTCACACTTTGGGGCATTCCTTTGGGGTAGCTGGCTTTCTGTATCTTTGTGCTCACCGCTGTTCACACAGAGCTAGTATTTCATAGTAAAGCATGATAGGTTCCTTAACCATGTTTTCTGGCTTGTTTTGCATCGCAGGGACCTCCAGGGCCTCAAGGACCGACTGGATTTCCTGGACCAAAAGGCCCCCCTGTAAGTAACTCTCTTTTCTAGAACACACAAAGAAATGTATAAAGTTTTTTTCATTAAGCTGTGATTGCCTGTGCCAGCTCAGTCTTAGCCGCTTCTCTGACAAGTGGTGACGTACCCAATAAAAGGCATTACTGAGACATCATGATAATAACCCAACAGTTTAAGATTTTAAATAGCCGAGTAAATTGTGACTGATTATAAATGTTCATTTCCTAATGACTCAGTATCACTAAGATCTTTCATGGTTGCTCTGTTCTTTATTTCCCCTCTGTATACTGGGAGGACAGCACAACAGAGTAACACTTCTGTCTCTGCAATTATTATATACTGCTGGGGGATCTCAGAAACCTTTTTGGAGTGATTTCTTTCCCTGTGGTGGACAGCTCGCTCCTGCCCTGGACCTGTAAGATAAATCCTTCCTTTGGGAGATGTGTGGGAAAGGGCCGTATTTTTAGGGTTCTGAGCACCCCCATTTCACTATAAAGTGGATGGGAGCAAGGATGCAAGCAGGTTTGATTCAGTCTTATCAGTTTGACGACTGAGCTCTTGGTCATGTTCCTTCTCACCCTGGTTTTCTGCTGTAGGGTCCTCCTGGGAAGGATGGATTGCCTGGTCACCCCGGACAGAGAGGAGAAACAGTAAGTAGCCAGAAATCTTGGGCAGATCATTAGCCCTGAGTCTCATCTTGCTGGTTGGTTTTTCTAAACCCTTCTGTGTAGCTGGGGAGATGTGGCCACACGTTTGGTTTCCCTGGAGGTCTGTGTGTCTCCAGCTGCATGGGACGGTCTATGGGAAGCAACCCTCTTCTGAGCGGGATGGGTCGGTCTAATGATGAGTTATGTGAAGGTTGTGTGCACCAACTCCTCTCTGTTCCTTTAGTAGACTGTGGAGGTCAACATGTGCATCATGCACAGGGAAAATACGAATGGAGAGATGTAGTGATGCTGATGACTGGCATCGGAGGCAGTTGGGTTTCTGCCGTGATGGGTGCTGCAGAGGCAGCTCCTCGCAAGGTGGGAGGATGTTGGCTGGGGCTGAGTCTAGGTCAGCACCTGCAGCTTGGTGTGGCGCTTGCTTTCGTGAGGCGGAGAAGCAGTTGGTGGGTGATTTCTAAGCAGCCCCTGAGGATGGGCTTTGTACCCCAAGGACTCGCTGAAGCGCTCATCCCTTTGGCCTCCCAAGGGGGAAGGCTGTGCCTCCGCTTTCAGGAGCGTTGTGGGTAACCTCTGTGCTTTCTTTCCCACTCCGTTCTTTGGAGATACGCAGGTTTTACATCTCTCAGTTCCAGAGGCATAATTTCTAGGACTGTGATAGCAGAAATTTTTCATGCAAGAAGGGCTCCATCCATCACAAGCTCAGCTTTCTGCACCCAGCTGCGTTAAGTCGGGGGCAGTTTTATTTTCTCTTGAACCTGCAATGCAGAGAAATAAATGCTTTTTGCTTCTTGATCTGCCATGTGGCCAACACCAGGAACTGTTGCATAGAGTTACAGAGAGAGTAAGACTTACAGCCCAGTTTTGGCAGTGCTTGTTTTGAGGGAAAGGCAATTCCTGGCCAAGATGAGTGGTGCAATGGTTTTGCTCTAGTTTTTCTGTCCACACCGGTTACTGCAGCACACTCATGTATCTGCCTTAGCACCTGAGTAAGAAAAGCATCTCTGCTGATGCTGCCCTTTAGCCAAAGCTATGCACAAGGACCTCATGAAGTTTTGCTTAAGCCCCTTGCAGCAATAATCCCTTGCTGCAGCCCAGGGAGCAGCTCCTGGCTGTTGAGGAGCCTCACTGTATCGTACGCATACTGCTTTATCCATTTTAAAAGGTTTTGTTGCACAGATGTAATCATTGTTTCTCACCAAAGGAGAACGATGAGGCATGTGGAAGGTATGATACCTTGGCTGTTGTGCGTCTCTGGTGGTCTGTTTTCTGCACCTTTTTTGCTTGAAGGATACCCTAAGCAAAAATGACCCTTCTGCCATGTATTCCTCTGCATGCAGTAATTAGCATCTTACTGTTTGGCATTTTTGGGGATGTTTATTCTTTTTCCTCGGCTGTTTACGATCCAGCTCATTTTGCTGTTGGTATATCCCTCTTCCCAACACTGCATGCTGCATGTTAGCAGATAGACTCTTTGTTCTGTGTTTATTTTACAGGAGAAAAAAACAACAACAACTTCCTCTACTCAGCTTTGCATTTTTTTCTGCTGCCTTTCCTAGCAAATGAGCATTAAAAAGGTTTTGCACATTATGCATTTCCCCCCCCCTCAACTTATCACACAACAATTTAATTAACTTGCCTGGCATTTGCTAAGCAAGGCAATGCAAATACTGCTCAGCGCAACACTAGATATTTATTTACATTCCATAAGGCTGCCTTTAAGGCAATGGTTGTGGTATTTTTGAACACACAGTCCTCAGGTTGGGATTAACTTAAAGGTGAAGAGAAGAGTTTTCACCTGCCTGAGTCTGTGACATTTAGTCTTCCTTCACTGAGTTATCTATGACATCCAGGGCACTTACATTCAAATTAGAAGAAGCAGTAAAAACTTTGCTTGCATCTGCTGTCATCAACTTTTGAGACTGGAATAAAGCATCAAACTCCAGGCCTGCATGAATATGAATGGAGAATGGGCTTTCAATTATTTGGGGTCTGAAAGTATTCCCTAATAGCTTTCTTCACTCATTGCAGTAGTAGCTTGCCTACCACAGGAAAATGTTTCCAGAAAACCAAAAATCTTACTTTGTGCCATCGGCAAGCTTGCAAAGATCACTTTCCCTTGCATCCGCTTGGGGTGCATATAGACATGTGCAGATCCTGGTAGTAGAAGTCCCTTTTTGGTCCCCCTTTGCTTACACAGTGCCAAAAAGCGAGAAGAAGAAACGTAAAAATGAATTAAATATTATTTCCACATCAGTAGCCTTGTTAGCTCACTCTGTACCTTCACACAAGAAAACCTAGACTTGAAATCTGTATGTCAAATAGTTCCCTTTATTTTACTTTTCATTTAGTAGCAAATAGGCATGCTGAAGGATACTGAAATATTTGGCCATATTAAATTTAAAAAGATTGTATCTAAAAAAGAAGAAAAACACTAAAAACTCTGTGACCAAGGCTCAGGGCAGAATAGAAAGAAATCCCTTTCTTCAGATTAAGAAGAGTCCTATACAGAGCTGGCTGAAATCGTCTTCTATGATAAAAGTTTAAATTGTACGTTTGTTTCACAAAGATGTTTTGCCATTTCCCCATCAATGACAGGATATTTTCTGTGATCCACAGACAGCTATAGAATATCATTGAGTAGTTTTTTTAGTATGACGCACTACTGTTGGGTTGGGATTTATCTGATCATCTTTTGTGGCAATGAGAAAATAGCCTCTATGCCCTAAATGACATTTCTCGAGCTTGTCAGCATGCTATAGTAAGACTGATAATTAATGCGCTTTTTAAAGAGTAGCTTAGGAGAGCTAAACAATTGCAGTGGTGATAGTTCGTTATAGTCACCTTTCAAATGTCATTAAGTAGCTGTCATGGAGACTTCGCTGCTTATCAGCATCTGGGGAGAAACACGTTTGTGATTTCTTTCAACAGACATTGATGAAGGAAATAAAGCTTTACTCAGCCTCCAATGCTGGTGGTTGTGGGCTTTGCAGGGGCTGAAGATTGGCGCTGACAGTGACAGAAGTGGAAGACAGTCACCCAGCCTCCAAGCTTCTGGGAGCTAAGCCTAAAAAAGAGCTAAGCCTAAACCAGTACCAGAACAGGGAGCACTAGAAGGGAAATGGTTATTGAGAATTACTCAGCATGAGGGAACCTGCCCATTCTGACTTTTTAATAGCCATTTGCTCTATACGTTTTATGAGCGTAGCAACTTTTTTTATATATATATATGGCCAGTCCTTCAGCCAAACTACAGTAGCTCCATCAAAGTAGCAGAGCTGAGCTTTGAGAATCCCTTTTTCTTCCTCTGTTACGCCCCTGTATAAACAAAGACATATTTTCCACCTTCTGTTTGATTCCTTGTTTCTTTTGTCTTTGGGTGTCCATCCGTTCCTGGTCAGTAGTTTCACCAGAAGAGGAGCAGTTGGGTGGCAGCCTGTGACCCTCGCTGGAGCACTCCTTGCAAAAGTGTGATCTCTTTCTCTTTTCCCTTTCTCTAACAGGGTTTCCAAGGCAAGACCGGCCCTCCAGGACCCCCTGGTGTCGTAGGCCCTCAGGTAAGGAACGAATGCTTGTGCTTGCACCAGCTCCCTGCAGCTCATCTTCACTGGTACAGCACAGCCGGCTCTCACAGCGGTGATGGCTCAGCTGGAGCTGCTGGGACTACAGGTTTTACAGCACAGACACTCCTCTTCCAGGGAATGCAAAGCCATGTCAAAGCAAGCTTGATGGCTTTGAAATGCTTGGCCAGGGTTTGAAATACCCCAGCAGGTCCCAGCCCACCTTGTCGGGGTGTTAGGATGGTATTTAGGCAAATGTGCCTGAAGGCTGCTGTAAATAAGGTGGCTCCTGTGAATTTAACGGAGCTACCTTGGGCTAAAATTAGCATAGGGGTGAGAGAGAGACCAGCCACACACAACCTGACTAAAAGACCTTAAGCAACCCGAGAGTTAAATGTGATCTCAAAGGGCTGTTCAGCTGCTGGGGCGTTCAGGGCAGTGTAAGTGTGATGCAAGAGTGCTCTTGACATGCCGTTATGAAGAAACGCATCCCTCTTTAATATAAAGTGCTGCCAGAGTTGGGCTATTTTTATTTTAGTCAAAATGAACTCTCTGCATTCTGGAAATAATAACTGCACAATCAGAATTGGTACCCCTTAAGTACAGGCATGCAAGGCTCATGCATCAGTTTTGTAGGCAGAGTCCTAGACTGAGTAGGACTGGCTTTGGGTTGAGTCTTCTTTCCTGAACTCCTAGGGAAGTTGCTCTTTAATTACAAAGTAATTGATTTGTCCTCTTTAATGATAATGTGAAGTCCCCGATTTGTAAATTCCCCGATTAGGGGCAATTCCCTGAACTGTGTCTGTCTTCTCAAGTGCAAATTAGGTTCTATGGCAATTTTATTTGGCTCTGCTGTGCATAGTTAGTGTGATCTGTGGTTGCTGAGCGATCGCAATGTTATCGTTTTGCTTACACTAAGTGGCACCCTGCAGCGTGACATGAATTACAACCTCCGTCCCAGCGGACACCAACATGCAGGGATGTTACAGTCTTGTGCGTATGGCTTTTTGTCCTCCTCCAAAATGGGCCACTTGGGAACCTTCTGCACTGGGCTTTATGTTACTCTTCACTGTGAGTGCCTGCGTACGGCACAGAGGCAGTCAGTAATTGTCGTGTAGTACAAGCCTAATCCATTATTTATGCCCCATATAAGGAAGAATCGGCATTGTCGTAGAGTACTTAAGAAGTTTTCAATTAAAAAAAAACCCTAGGCATAATAATTGTAGTAATAATATCTCATTTATGTGAACACTTTCATTCCAGAGGTTCCCAATGCCTCTAGTCTGTCAAGTGCAATGTTGCCTGCTTCCGAAACAGGTCCCTTTAGATGTCAAAGGAGGCATCTCTGCAGGGATGCCTGGTGTCACTGCAGAGGACAGCTAGGGGAAGGAGCATCTTCTAGCCCACTGCAACCTAAAGGAGCAAACTGAAAGCCTGCATCTCTTCCTTCATTGTTTGCTCTGCTGATACCTACCACCTTCTCCCCAATCTCTGTTTCTTTAGGGTCCAACTGGTGAAACTGGACCAATGGGTGAGCGAGGACATCCAGGCCCTCCAGGTCCCCCAGGTGAACAAGGTCTTCCTGGCCTCACTGGAAAAGAAGGGACCAAGGTAGGGACTAGCAGCATACTGAACTCACCCTCCTTGCAAGCCTGGATGCCTGCCTCTCTCCCAGAGATGGAGAGGGATGATTCAGAAAAGAAATGATGTCTTGCAGTGTCTTACCATGACTTGAGCCCAGAGGGAGGAGCTGGGTTTCTACGGAGTCTGCAGATCCTCAGCTATTTATCACTGTCGTTGCAGGGAGACCCTGGTCCTGCCGGCCTCCCAGGGAAGGATGGTCCCCCGGGCTTGCGAGGCTTCCCCGGAGAGAGAGGTCTTCCTGGCCCCATTGTGAGTAGAGGCTGCCCAGTCCTTCCAGCGGGAAGGATGCCCAGGCAATGCAGCACTCAGCTCCCAAAATGACTTTGTTTTCCTCCCTCCAGGGTGCTCCAGGGCTGAAAGGCAACGAAGGTCCCCCAGGCCCTCCAGGTCCAGCAGTGAGTATCCTTGCCCTTACAGGCACCACCTAATGCATTTACAAGCTTGGCAAGCCAAAACGGAGGGTTAGTCACAGCTCGGTGCTTTATCCGTTATTCCCTTTGCACTAACGACTTGCTGGATATTGCTTTATTTTACAAGACACGCATGTAATAGCTCAGTCATTTTGTGGTGTCAGCTGTGAAGGTACGTGACAAGCTGAGGGAACAGGGATGATTCAGGATAGCGAGAATTTTGCTCCTAAGTCACCAGCTTTCTCTCTGAAGTCATCCCCACCTGAGATATGTGCTCAGTGCAGCCCTCCTGGAAGAAAATATGCATCATCCAACTATCTCTGCTGCATTGGCCATGATGTGGCTCATTCTCTTGTTCCAAGCTGATAATGTGCGCCCAGGAACTGGGCTCCCTGCACCAACCCAGCCCTTCCAGGGATTTTAATTAAAAAAAGATCTGCAGGACCCCTTGGGCTGATGGTACCAAGTTGTCACATGGCAGTCACCCCATCAAATGTTCTCACTTATGATGCATTTGCAGCACCCTACTGCTCAATTTCTTTCTGTCTGTATATAGATAAAGCTTGATACTCCAGTTAATGCTTCCTTCTTCTCTGAACAGGGCTCTCCCGGTGAGCGCGGTCCTGCGGGATCAGCTGGCCCGATAGGCTTGCCAGGGAGACCTGGCCCCCAGGGACCTCCAGGACCCGCAGGTGAAAAGGGAGCCCCAGTAAGTACCAGTATAAAGATTAACAGCTGTGGGTTAAATAGATGTGTGTAGTAGGAAGTTAAGTGTGGAGACATTCCCTGGGTAGATGTATAAAAGACTTAAAAAAAAAAAAAAAAAAAAAAAAAAAGAGGAATTCAATTAGAAAGGAATTTTCTCATCATGGGTGCATCAAACCACTGAATGCTAGCTGCTCAACTACCCTGTTTGCAACACCCGTGCAATCAAAAATGGATGTGATCACAGGGACCAAAATGCCTTCAGGCAACAAGAAGGGGTGAGGACTGAACGGGTAAAGTGACAGCCTGCATGACCTCCTAGTGACAAACAACCAAAGGACAGGCCTCTGGGCAGAGAAATGAGCCACCCTTGTCGCGCTTACAAGGATGCAACAGCAGCAGGGATTTCCCACTGAGCCCAAATCAGTCCTTACTCATGCTCTGCCCCAGCCAAGGAGCAGCACAGGAAAGTGCTGCGGCGGGTTTGGGTCCGCTTCCCGGGGGACTGGGTGCTGCCGCAGCATCAGTGTTCCCAGGCATCCCGCCGGCACCCGAGCAGAGCGCGGCTGAGTCCTGCCATATGGTCCCTCTCCTGAGCGTTCGCCAGCCAGCCCGCGCAAACTCTCACGTCTTTCACGCCCCAGGCACGCGTGTGAAATGTCACGTGCAGGCAGGAGAGAGTGGGCTGGGATGACTGTTTCTGTCCTCGAAGAGCACAGCACAGCACCGTGACAGTCCCAAGGACGAAGGCTGTGCCTCTAATTCATGCCCAAATGGTTTTGTGGGGACTTTTGGGTTGCTCGCCTCAAACTTATGCTCAGCTTCAGACCCAGCAAAATGAGCAAATGCTGGCATTGGTGATTTCAGACTCCACGAGGACACTTTCAGTGATTGATTGTTGTTATCAGAAGTGTTTATCAGCTGCTGTATTCCACATTTGCTGGCTTATTAGAAACTCCAGCAGCTAGTCCAGAGGCAAGAATTTCCTGGTGAATCAGCTTTATGAACATCTGTCCCGCCAAGTACCTATATGATGTATCAGTGGATAAATGAATAGGCAATTTATGTGGCATCTAATTATTCAGAAGAGAGCACCTAGAATTCAGATGCAATTAAATGATGTACAAGGAAACTGAAAAATATTCACTGTTCAGTTCCCATAAACAAACAAATTCGACTGAAGGCTCTTCAGGTCTGAGCAATACGAATAGATGTTGAAGCAGGAAGCCAGCAGAGATTGCTTTATTCACTTCAGGTGTTTTCCTTTGTCCAGAAGCTCAGGAGGGAGCTCAGGACCTCCTGAGAAACCCCCATTGTTGGGGAGCAGCCAGGGCGGGAGCAGGCAGTGAGTGCTGGGGCAGCCAGGATCAGAATCAGTAAAAACTGGCTTGTGGGAATAAAAATTAGTTGCGGTCTTGTTTGTCATCCAGAGAGAGATGGCAGAGGGTTCAGATTACATCTGATTATACCGCTGTAGCAGTGAAATTGCAACTGTGATCTGGATATTCACTGTTTAGATTTGTTTGTTCTTCCTTTATTTCTCGAGAGAGAAATTTTGTCTTGTTTCAGACAGTGAGCACAGAGAGCCTGATGAAATATCAGCTGGAAACCGGTTTTGCTATACATGCCCATGTAGTCAGGGGTCATTAGCAGCTGAATAAAACGTTAATGGGATGTAATGGGTTGGTTGGAGGGTGGAGGTGAGCTCGATGTGACCTGCTGTTTGTTCCACTTCCAGGGCGAGAAGGGTCCTCAAGGACCGGCTGGCCGGGATGGCATCCAGGGCCCAGTGGGACTACCAGGTCCAGCAGGTCCCGTCGGCCCTCCCGGAGAGGATGGAGACAAGGTGGGAGCAGCTCCCTGCTGTGCAGGGTCACTCTGAGAAGGAGCTGGGCAACGTGCCCCATTGCCACCATGCTGCTTCCACTGCATCGGGTTGCATGTGCTGCTGGTCGTAACACAAGGATATTTTACGGCACTTGCAATCCCATGAGATCAGCAGTGTCCGGTCTGGGGAGCAGCAGGCAAACTGGGCTGTGTGTGCTCTGCCAGCCAAACCGCTTGCTGAAATCCAGTTAGCCTCCCCCGAAGCCTGTAGCAGGTGGCCTGCCCACAAGTGCCTGGCCTTTCCAAATTAATTACCTTTCCCCACTCTCTCATTAAGCCCCTCTGGACCAGAGGATTCCTAGAAAACATTAGCTGGGATGAATCACTCATTGCTGCTAACAAGGTCTGCAAAATGATGTTTCTTGCATCGCATGGCAGCTAAGGGAAGTTTTAGGATGTAAAAGGTTTTGATTACACCTGGACTGGCCAAATCACTGGCCTTTTTCAGAACGTTCTGGGATATTTCTGTGTAAATTGGCATCTTTGGGACGAGGATGTAGATACGTAGGACTATTGCTTGAACGTTGAGGTATGGAAGTGGTCGCCAAGTGAACTAACTGTGCCCCTTTCTACCTGGCAGGGCGAGATCGGGGAGCCTGGCCAGAAGGGCAGCAAGGGTGACAAAGGGGAGCAGGTAAGTGGGGTGGACGCTGGCATAGCTGCTTCCCTGAAGGAATGTGGTTATGTTGTGTGACTTGCTGGAAACAGAAAACAATAACATTTTAATTTCTTTCTATCACGGCTTCATCTTCTCCTTTGCTTCATCAAATACCCACGTGATGTAAAAAAGAGTGAGTGCCTGAAGTGTGAGCCTCCAGCTCCCAGGAACACACTGCGATGTTTCCATGTCACCCATGTACTGTGTAAATATCTGTGAAATATTAGCAGCCCTTGTCATTAAAGTTGGATGTTCAGCTGTAGTTGCTTTTCTAGTTGCTTGCAGCACAGTAAAGCACCCTTTATGTGCTGCTCAGAGCCCGAGGAAAATAAAAGATACATAAGCACCTAGATAGGATCGAGTGGTGTGATATTGCTTTGCTGGAGCAAAAATGCATTTAGATGTGTTTGCTGTGCCATTGGCACTAGGGTGGAAGAATGCTGGTGTGTCTGGGGAGACTTGACCCTGTCCTCCCTCTCTATTTTGGGAGTTAATGCATGTTTAATGGAGGCTGTGTTGAAGGGCATCACCTTTTCCCCGAGACCTTTTTTACTTCATGCTCCTAACACTGATGTTGTACTTCTCTTTTGTGACAGGGTCCACCAGGTCCTACTGGCCCACAGGGTCCAATTGGTCAGCCTGGCCCAGCTGTGAGTATTGTCCCCTGTTAGCAGAAATCCCCTTTCTTACCCTAAAATCTCCCGGGAAGCCCTGCAAGAATTGGCAGTTTCTGCCTGGCGCTGCTGGTGCCCAACACATGAGAAGGGCATTGCCCCTGGCTGCAGCAGGAGGTGGTGGGGATGGGGCTTCACATCTACCTCTATCTTTGCTAAGCTGCGTTAGACTCTTTCCTCATAGGGTGCCGATGGAGAGCCAGGTCCCAGAGGACAGCAAGGCCTCTTTGGTCAGAAAGGTGATGAAGGACCCCGAGGTTTCCCTGGTCCCCCTGGCCCAGTGGGCTTGCAGGTAATTTGCAGCATCAAGGGAGGGCTTAGGGCAATGAGTGCTAGGGTTCCACCTGAGATGTTCACAGCTAAAACTCTTCCCCCTCACCTCCACAGGGCTTGCCTGGGCCACCTGGTGAGAAGGGAGAAACAGGTGATGTTGGGCAAATGGTAAGATGCTTTCATACTTCTTTTTTCATCACTGACATAGACATTGCTCCAAGAAACATGTCATAAATTTGTTTCCCCTTTCTCTCAGGGTCCGCCCGGCCCACCTGGACCCAGAGGTCCATCTGGACCACCAGGAGCAGATGGTCCACAGGGTCCTCCTGGGGGAATAGGAAATCCTGGTGCAGTAGGAGAGAAGGTAAAGCATCCAGACAAACCTAACTGAAGCCCGCAGGAGTTTGCTACAACACTTGTGCAGGGGCTTTGCTACGTCAGCAAAAAACTCGGCACCCTGCAGAAATGTAAGTGTGCTCATTCTCTTTTCCACTCTGCAGGGTGAACCTGGTGAATCTGGTGAGCCTGGTCTTCCCGGCGAGGTTGGCCTCCCGGTAAGTACGCTACAGGGTGGCTCTTGCTCTCGTGGAGAAGAGCTTTTCTTCAGTGGTGGCCCCTGAGGAGCTGGTAAGGGGTGCCAGAGAGGCATGGATGTGGATGGGGCTGCAGGGACAGAACCAGGTGTGTCCTTGATTTGGGTATCAGGCAACACATCGCCATGTTACTGGCTATTTGTAGTGTAATGTTTAGTCACTGAATATGGGCTACCCACAACTGAACAACATGAACACCGTTTAATCTTTGTGGGAAGGGACTGCTAAATAACGTCCTTGTATTTTGAGATACAAGTAGAGCTTCTTTCTCAGAATTGATTAAAGGATAATTAGAGATTGGTAAGTTGTTTTCCTGGATAACAGAAACACCCTTTTTCCTTTACAGGGTCCTAAAGGTGAAAGAGGTGAAAAGGGTGAAGCAGGTCCCTCTGGTGCTGCTGGTCCACCTGGCCCTAAAGGTCCACCAGGCGACGATGGTCCCAAAGGCAGCCCTGTAAGTACCCCCTCTTGTCCAAGCAGTGCTTCCTTGTCTTGCCCAGCAGAGATTTTTGCATGAAAAGATGTTTTCTAGAGATTTTTGTGGAAATTTGAAATAGTTTACCAGCCAGCGAATTGCTCCTCTAATGATGTGTGATACTAGTCCCCTTCCTTTAGGGTGCTAATGAGGGGAAGACTCAGTTGTGCCATATCTTCCAGCAATACTTGAATTATTAGTCCTTTTTGCAGGCTATCAGAAAACTCACCCTTATGGAGAGGGCCTGCAGTAGGTTTACTTTGCACTGGAGCTTACGCGTTGCCAAGGTCCTCTGCAGCAGAGCAAAGCTTCCAAAATAATGTAGAGGAGATTTATGTGAATTTGGGAGTTGAACCTCTAGGGTCAGATCCCCGCTGATACTAATTGCTGTAGCTCTACTGAAGCTAGTAGAGCTATATTGATTTATACCAGATGACAATGGTACAGTATTTATCTTGCTGGCTTCTTTGATGCTTGCTGGCTGAAGAAATTTATTATGCGATAAGCAAAGATGGCATGAAACAGCGGAGGAGGCAAGGGAGTTAGTCATCTCTCTTAACAGATGGGTTTTGAGGATATCGCATTATTGGTTGAAGCCTATTGTTTGAACGCTGGTCTCAGAATCATTTGAAGTGCACAATAGACATTGTACAGAGAAGAATGGTGAAGTGTTTTAGTCATTAAACGCTTTGAGAGGATCTTCATGTGAAAAATGTTACACATCATGTAGTAAGCAAAAGCAAAATCTTCTAATCTACACTTTCCCCAAAGGTGTGAGGATTTTGCTGTCACTTGTCCAATGTATTTATGAAAAAGTAGATGAAAGTCCCAGTGTTGACACTGGAGTTTTCTGTAGTCTGGATGCAGAGCTGAACTGGTGGCTGTGGCAGGGTGAAATTATTGGAGATGCAAAGATGGGATGTGATCTGGGATTGTGTTTGAGGCTAGGAAATTGGGGTTTTGCTCCATAGGGTGACTCCCTATGCTGTCACTGGGGTAGCAGGCACTAGTGCTCTGCAAATCTCCAGATGCAATACCTCTGACTTGGGAATATCCTTCTTCTCTCTTTGCAGGGTCCGGTTGGTTTCCCTGGTGACCCTGGTCCTCCTGGAGAACCTGGTCCGGCCGTAAGTGTTTGTCTCACAGAAGGGCAGTTAGGTTCCTCCTCTTGATTTAGTGAAATACGACCGTGTGCTGTTCATTCACCAGCAGCTCCTCGGTCATGGGCTCTTCCTTTACTTGGGAAAGAGTAGGAAGTCCCACCATGACTGTTTGTCTGACCGTCCTACAACCTTTGGGGCAGCAGCTATACGAATGTTGCTATCCACAGTGTGTGACACAGGAAGTTTGCTGTTGCCAGTGTTCCCAATAGGAGATGGGAAGAGATGTACCTTATGGCATGAAGACCAGCTGAAACTATACCTGCTGCTGCTAATATTCTGCTCAACTCTGTATCCTAAATACACCTGCTTGTTCCTTTCTTCTTCCTTTTTAGGGTCAAGATGGTCCCCCTGGTGACAAAGGGGATGATGGTGAACCTGGACAGACTGTGAGTAACTGGATAGATGAGATCTATTCCCCATTGGGGGGAATTCCCCACCAGGTGTCTGTGTGCAGGATCAAGGACTTTTAACACAGAAGGACATGCAGCATCTAACTCCACCAGCTTCTGCTGTGCTGGTCCCTTGATGCCTGTCCAGTCCTCTGTGCGTCAGCCTGGCTGCTGCCATCCATCCAGGCTGCTTAGAAATACATCCTGAAAGCAAAAATTAACTTATGGAAAAACAAAATCTAAGTTTCGTTTTAACTCTGCTGTGCCTTATGGTATTTCATGGTGGGAAGGGATAAAACAAGATACCACCTGCACCCCCGAGGAGGTGTTGGGAGTTGTACTGGCCGCCCACACCTCAGCTTACCACAAACTCTAGATCTTGACTTGAGTTTTACACGCTTGCTCCTCCCTCCTACATCTCGAGGTGCAGTTATGGCTTGTTCTCCTCCCCTCTCCATCTAGGGTTCCCCTGGTCCCACGGGAGAGCCAGGCCCCTCCGGACCCCCGGGGAAAAGGGTAAGCTGATTGTCTAAGAGTCTTTTTCCAAATATATTTGTATTGACTTTTTGAAACTAATGTCATTACTAGGTCTACAGTAAATGCCAGGCAGTAGTGTGTAAAATAAATAAGAATTTTTTAAAAAACTTTGATGTGCCATCCTCAGCCATTGGAAATTGATGGGAAATTGTCAACTGAATCCCACGGGGGGGTTTGAGATTTTAACTCCCAAAAGAAAATACAAGCATGAGGTGCTCCTGCTCTTCCTGCCTTGCTGGCAGAGCCCAGGGATTCATTTAGCAAGAAGCTAATTTAAAAAGCTTTTCAGAGATATTTGTCTCAATTTTGTCTTCTTCCCTGGGGCTGTTAGCATCATTTTGCTAATTCCAATAGATGACTTCAGATCAGTGTGATCTAATTGTGTTTCGCATCCATTTTGTGCTTTCTCTAGGGCCCTCCTGGTCCAGCTGGTCCTGAAGGAAGGCAAGGGGAGAAAGGAGCCAAGGTAAGACCTGAATGGGATTTCATTTTTACCATGTCTTTCTGTGCTAAAAGGATCACCCTCTGACAACGTTGGTGTTTGAAAGACAGTGATTTGATTTTGTTGTGAGTTACAACAAATTAGCCTGAATTTGGGGCCATTGGCCTCAAATATAAGCTTATGTTTCATCTTTTAACAAACCCTGTGGAGATAATTAGAGCTTGGTAAGGTCCTGGGAATGTTTTTGTTGCTTTGAAATGACCAAGTGCCATGTTTGGCAATTTAATATGTTGTGAATAATGCAGCATACACAGCCCCATGTCCTTTCACAGGGCAAACAAAGTATTATTGGACCATGATTGTTTTGGTAGGAGTGGTGAGGAAATGTAGAGTCGGATTGCAAATTATAGATCCATTTGTTGTGGCAGCCACAGGAGCGCTGATGGGGAAGGATGTCCTCTGCTAGCTCACCTCCCAGGACCAAACCCAAGAAAGGTTCCGTTCTCTCTCCAGAGAGCTTGGAGCCAAAGGGTCGTTCCTGCTGGAAATCGGCAGAAATAAGTAAGGCTGAAAAGTGAAGGAGTCTGGAGACTTGTCCTCAGCACATAAAGGATAGGGAGCAGTAGGAAAATCAATGAACGGAAGGTTTTACATGCTTTGCATGGAATTGCATTCACTCTGTGACCTCCTGGCGGCAGCCACAGCATATTTGAGAAGATCGTTTGATGCCCCAATGCCAATTAAACCGTGCTGCCTCTTGCATCTAGGGTGAAGCTGGTTTGGAAGGACCTCCTGGGAAGACTGGCCCAATTGGTCCTCAAGGTGCTCCAGGGAAGCCCGGCCCCGATGGCCTTCGAGGGATTCCTGGTCCAGTCGTGCGTATTCCCAAACAGAGCAAAGTCTGAGAAAGCTTCTGGACAGTGTTGTTCTTGGTGCTTTACTGTAACCCATCTGCCTTGGAAGATGTCTTTCTCCCACTGTAATGTTCTGTCTATGCTTAAATATCTGACAGCAGATAAAACCTATTTAGTGGAAATAATATAACAGTGGATATCGTCTCCCAGCATGTTTTATTTGAGTCTTGGGTCTGCTTGCCCACTCTCCATGGGTGAGAGTTTCCATGACCTCCAAAGTCCCTTCTCCAGTAGAGATTTGAGAATGAAAGGAACATAAATCCATTTGTCTTTATGATCTGTGAGAAACCAAGGCAGATGTTCCCTGGCCCAGGGACCAGATGAGGACAGGTGAATAATCAAAATAAGCCCAGCTGGGAGCACTGCTGTCATGAATGATTGTTTTGAGGGAATTGCACTGTTTTACAGGGTGAACAAGGTCTTCCGGGATCCCCTGGCCCAGATGGTCCTCCAGGCCCAATGGTATGTCCAGACCATCAAATTCCATGAGTTTTTTAAATGGGTGAATGCATTTTACATTAATTCAATTTCTCTTTCGTTTTCCCCTCTGTCTCCCACAGGGCCCACCGGGTTTGCCTGGTCTTAAAGGAGACTCTGGCCCTAAAGGGGAGAAGGTGAGAACGCTGCCCCTGATCTCACTGCATGACCTGATGTCCATGTCTGCGTGTGGGGAAAAAAAGTCGTTGTAGAGGGGTCCTGCAGCTGGCAGGATGAGGCTGAGGAGTGCCACCAGCGCTGTGTGCTCTCTTTCATACTCTAGAAGCATTGGACATATCTTTAAAGGAGAGATGGAGTGTGCCCCAAGGGATGAACAGGGTTGTGCTGTGGGTGAGCTTGTGCCACTGCCTGTCTGGATCCAAGACTAGGTTTCCCATCCCCATATCACCAGCAGTGAGGGCAACAAGGTGACCCAGAGGATCTGAATCTCTGCATTCCCCTACAATGGCCCTTGCAGTCCGTGGCAGCTCTAGTTGTCGGGGCTGCCTGAACACAGGTGCTTTAGCAGAGGCCGTAGGGAGGTGCAGACACTTGGCTTGCTTTAGGGCAGGATTCTCAGTCTTGTAGACCCTTCTGTAACGTATGATAGCACCCAAAATGAGCAGGTGCTCCAGTGCAGCAGTTCTGCCTCTATATTTGTAGCATTTTCTGTTGCAAAAAGCTAGTGTGCTTCTCTGCTCTGCCTCTTCCAGGTGTCAGGGATACCTGTAAACTCCTATGACCTTAGATATTTGGGTTTGTGTCTAGAAATGTCTTTGCTGGGTAGCTTTGGCATTTGGTTACCTCCGGCGAGAGATCATAATTAATATCTGCTGTTTTCCCCTAGGGTCACCCAGGTTTAATTGGTCTTATTGGACCGCCGGGAGAGCAGGGAGAAAAGGGTGACAGAGGTCTCCCAGGCCCCCAGGGCTCAGCAGGACCCAAAGGAGAGCAGGTAAATATTCCATAAGACCTTCATGGAATGTGCTTTTGAGCTGTGGTGTTTGCTGCCCTTGAGCAGGTACGGCATAGCAGAGATGGTCAACCTCGGCAGGAGACTCGTGCTAACTTTTGAGGAATATTTTCTACATTAATGTGGTTTATGCAACATGTGAAATGTAGAGATGCTTCAAAATGACCCATTTTAGTGGAAAGCAGATTCTCAAGGGTTGTATGAAAAGAGTTGATAGACTTGGAAGGATGGTTACATTAAATATGCATCTAGAGGACTGATTTTTAAAACTGTGTGCCTAATTGAGGTATGAGATTCCCTGGTCATGCTCTTGTCTGGATCTTGCACATGCTTAAAAACCAGTTAAAGCTCCAGATTTGAATGGAGTCCTCCAAAACTGGGTGGTCATCTGTAAGCAGATGTTAGTTGTGTAGTTATAGGCCAACATTGCTGCATGCAAATCAATGTTGTTCTGCATTTATTTTTCAGGGTATCACAGGTCCTTCTGGACCAATCGGACCTCCAGGGCCACCAGGATTACCGGTATGTGACAAGTGATTATCTTTGAATTCCTCAGGAGCTGCAGAGTCCTTCTGGAGTCACCTTAGTGCTCCCAGATATACCCAGCACAGTCCCTCTGGCCTGAGCTTGTATGAGGATGCTGATGGGAATGGGTTTGCACAGCTGAGCTCACTAAAAGCATTTGAATGTGTTACAGATGTACTGGGAGGTGACGTGTGAGCTGAGAGATAGGCACAGGGGACACGGCGTGATCGAGGCAGGGAATTTAGCCCCCCCTGTTTCTCTTCCCCTTTCTTTTGGTTTATCTACAATCACATGGTGATTTTTTTGTACTTTCTGCTATTTGCATTTTTTTTTTCACTGGATGCTCAAAAGGCTGCAGCCTCCACCCATGGGCAACCAGCATTTGCTGTTGCTGGGTGTCCTCAGCATAGAGCCAGGATCAGTCCCAGGTTACCATAATCACACAGCAGCTTTTCCAGTCCCCATCCGGGCAGGAATGTGGAGCGCTGACACAGATTGGTCTGACACAAATGCTTTTTGTATGTTGGCAAAGAAAAGCAACATCGAACTCAAGTGGATGTGAAAGGTGGAAACAGAAAGGAAGTGAATTAAAAACTCCACCTTGTATAACACTACTCTGTCTGTCTCTGAGGAGAGACTGCCTTCTCTGCTAGGAAACGTACTGACTCCTTTCTGTATTTTCTCTCTATGCAGGGTCCGCCTGGTCCCAAAGGTGCTAAAGGATCATCAGTGAGTATAGACATTGTTAAACACAGAGGTTGAGGAGCTTTTATTAAGTGCATAAATTGCTGCAATTCCTCCACATCAGTGGCACTAAGGCAATTAGCCAACGATGACTATAGCAAGTGCAGCCTTTTTGGGCTGTCTAAGCCCAGAAATTATAATTGGGAAAGGTTTCTGTTGCACACACTGTACTTCACTGAACATCAGCGCAGCAAAGATCATAAGGAGGAATCCAGTGCATAGTCCTCAGGAGAAAACCTACTGCTGTAAAGCGAGGGTATTAAAAATAGACTGTGAAGCGGGAGGTGGCAAGCTGAAAAGCGAAGAACTCTGTGAGAAATGCAACACTGAAGCAAGCTTCATGTTACAGATCTCCTGTGTGGCCTGCTAAAAATTCCGCTTGGGCAACATCCTAAAGTCTTGTTTCAGTGCAGAATATATTTTATTTGATTTATAAAATCGTTGAATTGATTTGGAGAATTAACATTTTCACGCATGGGAAGATCCTTCCTTTTCTGTAGGAAGCCTAAGCAAAATTTGAGTGTTTAACCCCAAGTGTTTGATCTTTTTTTCTTACATAAACATCAAAAATAACCAAAATAAACATTTTCTTGGGGGGGTGCAAGAGGACTCCTCTCGTGTGCCTGAAGGGACAGGAAGAAAGTTTTTGCCACAAGAGACTATTAAAAGAAATAATGTTTGGGATGAGATATAAGTGGCAAGTGCTTCTTTTTGAGTTAGTCATATGTTTTTTCCCTTCTTTTTCCACTCAGGGTCCAACAGGTCCAAAGGGTGAATCAGGTCTTCCTGGGCCCCCAGGGCCTCCTGTAAGTAGAACCTTTTACATGAAGTGTGAAATGGGGTTCAGATTTAATGGGTGTTGTAATGGTAGGAAGTAGAAGATTTCTGGACAAAGATTCAGCATATCAGGAGTCCTAGCGATGGATTGGCCTCTCTTAGAGATGCTGAGGAGGAAATCAGGGTGTGAAGGGAGAAGTTACTAATGGGAAGATGACAAGAGAAGATGGAGCCAGTGTTCGAGCCTGGTGGTTTTTGTCAGTATGATCACGGGTGTTTTCCATCTCTAGAGTCAGCTTATGATGCTGCTTTTCAGCACTGGTGGCTGCTTTGGCCATCTCTTCTGTCTTTTCCCCACTGCCAATGCAATGAGAAGTTGTATCTTCTTTCCCCACAAATCAGGGTCCTCCTGGGGAAGTTATCCAGCCATTGCCTATCCAGTCTTCCAAGAGGACCAGGAGAAACATTGATGCCAGCCAGCTGGTGGACGATGGAAATACCGACAACTACATGGACTATGCGGATGGCATGGAGGAAATTTTCGGCTCGCTGAATTCCTTGAAACTGGAAATAGAACAAATGAAGCATCCATTGGGCACTCAACATAACCCAGCACGTACCTGCAAGGATCTGCAGCTCTGTCACCCCGATTTCCCAGATGGTGTGTCCCAGAGGGGGGTGCGGGGAGAACACTGTGGGTTTCCCAGCTCCACACAGTGAATACAAGCAAGTGCAGGAAGAGAAGTAATCTGGGGAGTCCCTGGCCCTGGTGGCCTATGAGGAATGTGACTGACAAAGATGGAATATGTAGAGAAGAGTTGGACTAGATGATTGCTGTAGGTCCCTTCCAGCCAAAAACTTCTATTCTAAGAATGGCAATATATGATGAAAAAAAGCCCTTCCTGTAAGGTGCCACAGTATTACGTGGAATCAGAACATAACCAGTTTTCCAAAAAACTCATAAAAATAGTAGCCTATGACAGAGATGAAACATCCCTGGTAAGATGGTTGCTGAAGTGCCCAGTGTCCTTCCTTCACAGTGCTGATTCTTTCTTCCCTTCTCTTCCCTCTTGTGCTTCCAGGTGAATACTGGGTTGATCCTAACCAAGGATGTTCCAGGGACTCTTTCAAAGTTTACTGTAATTTCACAGCTGGTGGAGAGACTTGCATCTTCCCTGATAAGAAATCTGAAGGAGTAAGTCCACACAACTGGGTTTTTTTTACCCTTTCCATCATGGTGATAAGAGATTGTTTCCTAATGTGAATATTCATAGACAATTTCAGGAGAATTGAACAAGATCAAGTAAGGATTGAAGATCCAGAACATTTCTTTGTTACACAACATTGGCTTCTAAAATAATAAGGAATACGTTTACAAAAATAATTTCTTTGAGTAAGTCAGATTTAAACTATGATTTGGGACAAGTCTTTGATGATTTCCCAGGCATAATAAATGCTAAAACCTTAATTATTTTACTTTGCTTTACAAAGACAGAAGTGCATGTTGGTACAGGAACTGCGGCTCCCCATGAGCTTCATTTAACTCATTCCTTGTCTTCCCTTCTGCAGCCAGGCTGCCGCTCCACTGTCTGCGTGCATAAGCACCACTGATTCCTCTACCCTTACTGTGTCTTCAGGCACAGCAGATAAATGTTTATCTCCTGTCATTTTTTCCTGGTGTTTCTTGTGGGTATTTTGTTTCATAAATGATTGCAACTAGCCTCAGCGCTCTTCCTGGCACCAGTGCACAAGGTTGATCAAGTTATTTGTCTAATGATGTGCTTACCTCAGCCGTACTTGTAATTTTTCTCCTGTATCCATGCACTCTGTTTTCTGGAGCTGCTCTCCCTGATGCCTGGGAACCAACTCTTGCACTGGCCAAGCAGAAAGTCTTGCAAAGTGACCCAGGGGAGCTCTCTGAGTGTCATGGTTGTGCTCCAGCTGTGTTAAGCTGCAGACAAAGCTGTTCACTCAGGTGGAAGCCATTTGCTTGCTGAATTTCATCCACCAGAAATATGTGCCAGCCCAGGACAAATAACATGCAACCTAAATCTTGAGTTTTTGTTAGGGCTGTTTAAATAGGAGATGCATTCTCCTTTGTGTTAACTTGCCATGGCTCTTCTCAAAATGTTGACCGCTAAAACAGTGGAGTCTGCCCATGGTCTTACAGCTGCTCGGCATCCTGCCACACTGACTCTGCGAGTGGCTCTTTGGCCCCATCTCATCCACTGTGGAGCTGCTCTTCTGCCCATAGGTTGTGATGCTCCTCAAATGCAAATTGTGCTACACTTCTGCAATACTGCCATAAATGAGAAAACGCTTCAGCCTGTTTTTCTTCCATGTAGAAGAATGAAAACAGCTACCGGATGAGCATTAAGTATTGGCTGAGTGGTTTTACGATAAGCCACAGCAGAGTTAAAGCCATATTCCCTTTCAGTCCATCCTTAACGCAGCAGAAACACACAGACATGCTTTTATGGTTCACATACTGGAAAGGAAAGGACAATCCCAAGACACCTGCATGTAGCTTGGCCATTGTTTTTGGAGAATTTTACAGCAGAAGCAAGGGAGCTTGTGGGAGGGTAAGGGAGCAGATGGTAGCCACTCTCCTTTCCTGTGCTCTGACTCAAAAAACATGATTCGGCTGCTTAGACGGGGCTCTGACAGCTCGTTTCTTGTCAAGGTCCCTCCCTGAATCGCTCCAGATAGTTGGAGCTCCATCATGTGTGATGGTCCAGCACCGACTGCGGAGGATGTGCTGCCCGTGATGCACCTTATTGCTGCACAAACGCAGGAGGCAGACAGAGGCTTCTCCTTAATCACACTCTGCTTTTCCCAGCCCCGCAGCATCTGGATTTGACATTAGAGTGGCAGCAGCCTTCTCGCCTACCAGCATTGCTTTTCCACCCCAGCCCTCCCATGAAGATCAGTGGAGCTTTTACCATTGCTATTTCTTTTTTTCCCCCCTCTATCTTTCCTTTTATCTCCCCTGCCGATAGACTGCGCTGCTGGTTTTGCAGCCAAAGGACCTAGGAGGCAGGGATCATTAGCCCTTAGCAAAGGAGGCCGGTGCCAAGGCAGCGCCGGGCACGCGGGGCAGCACCACGCCGTCCCGTTCTGCTTGCGAGGCTGCTGGCACCTTAGGGCTCTGCCGACTGGTCTCTTTACTGGTATATAAAGATTAAGAAAACATTTTAAAGGAAGTTGGACAGTTTCAATAAGACATGCAGACTTTGCTTGTGGAACTGAATTTAACTTTTTTTATTTCTTTTTTTTTTTTCTTCTTTTTCTCTTTCCTCCTTGCCGTCCACAAACTAGGCTAGAATTACTTCTTGGCCAAAGGAAAACCCAGGCTCCTGGTTCAGTGAATTCAAGCGCGGTAAACTGGTAAGATGCATCTTGGTGCTTTCTGTTTTCTTTAACCCATGTCATATTTTACAGAGTAAAATGGCTCGTTGGCCCAAAGAACAGCCTTCCACATGGTATAGTCAGTACAAGCGGGGGTCTTTGGTAAGTGGCTAACCTTGGCCCTCTAGTCTGAATCAGAGCACGTCATCTGCTTTGGTATGGCCAGACCTGTTGCACTCTGCATGCTGGACTAATAACCATCACAAGTCGCAGTAAAAACATTTAAGGTGGAATACTGAAAAAGAAACAAAATCCAGTGGGGACACTTCTTTCCAGTCTGCTTGACTGGAAACCTATGAGCGGGTGACGGGCTTTCCCTTGTGCTAAAAGGGGACACGCTGATGTGTGTCTGGGGAGCTGGAGCTGTTTGAGGTCTGTCTCCGCAGAGCGCTGCAGGAGGGCTGCGTCCTGCGAGGAAGGCTGTTGCTCCCTCCTCAGCAGTTCCCTTTACGGCAAGGGCAAACTGGGTGTCCCCGTGCACGCTGTCCCCAGCAGTCTAGCCTTATCCCGAGAGCTAAGAGACGCCTAACGTGATGCTTCAGCCTGGAGCTGGGCACGGTGCTGGCGCAGCCGGTGCTCGCTGGTACCCAGGCTGAGGTGCTGAATCTGCACATCTCTGGGCTGGGGCAGGTTTTCCCCAAAGGATGGATTTCGTCTCCCACACTGGAGATGAGCCACATCAGGGGCTCCCATGCCACTCACGGAGCTTGGGAGACATGAAGTCATTGGTTTAAAGGAAGATTTCAAGTGTGTTTGTCGAGGCTGGTGGACAGGAATTTGACTTAGTCACAATTAAGGATTTTTTCAAGAGAGAAGAACTGTCGTAAGGTCAAACAACGTTTGATGCCAGCAAGCAAGACAGCAACACGTAAAACAGAGAAAAAGCTCTGGTATTTTGTCCCGTAACATTCACGTTGTGGATAGATCGCTCCTGTGGAGCCCAAGCCCTGGTCAGGGATGTCAGAGCAGCAGCCGATTTGTGTAAGCCAGGTCTCCTTCAGCAACAGAAATCTCCCGCATGTGTATCAATTCTTGTAGGACTAGCAGGATGCAGATGATAAGCTCAGTCAAATCAGGAGAATAAGGGAAGAAGGAAATTCAGTGGATAAAACCGACCTGCCACTGAAAGCAAGAGATGCTCTGACGTACCGCGCTGTGCAGCCATCCTCTCCCCAGGGCAGAGGTTTCTTGCAATGCCCCAAACTTCCACCTTAAAAGGCAAACAGCAAAGAAAATCACCGCGTTGTTTTCCTAAAGCCGCATTTCATCGCCACTAAACACATTTTGCTCTGATTCTGCCCACAAGAAGGATATGGCTTCTGCAGCTTTCCTGCGTTATTGAATAAGGCGGCAAAGCCAAGGCTTCAGCCTCATAGCTCCTTGGAGGGCAACTACTCATAGCTTAATTACAGAGCACTTAATCAGTTAATATTAGGAGTACCTCCATTTCTCCATCTTCTCTGCTTTTTTTTTTTTCCTCTCTCCAGTCCATTTATCAGCTACGTTAGAGGCTGAATTTCCAACCTAGAGCTTTGGGCCCATTTTTTTTAAATTGGAATTTCAGTGCTACTTGAAGCCCTTTGTTCCATCTTTCTGTGTTGCTATTTTCTTGCTTTTTTACCTGTCCTGCATTTTCTGTTTGGGAAGAAGCCACCAGCACGTAGAAGACCTGCCTAAGCAAACTATAAAACTGTCAAACACACAAGCCATAAAAGTAAAGTTTGGTTTGGGTTTTTTTGTTTGGGTTTCTTGTTGTTTTTAAAGTACCTCTCATTTTGCCCCAGTCGGTACTTGGAATTATGAGGCTGGTAAATTGGGGAGGCATTTGCGTGATCCAAGATCAGTTGAGATCTGTGCGTAGATGGGCAGGATGAACGAGTTTGTGTTCCCCTCTGGGTACAGCATTGCTCCTGTTACTCCATGGAGAAGGTCCCTGGTGTCTTTCCACGCAGCCCGGGCACAGTCTCTTGTGGGGGCTGAGCCCATGGGGATCCCCGAAGCCGAGGGGAAGATTTCTGCCTGGCTGCTCCGCACTGCCGAGAGCGCAGGCTGCTGATGTGGGGGGCTCTGTATGAATCTCGGTGCTTGCGCGAGAGGCACAACTGTGAAGATGCTTGCCTTTCTTCTGGGGATATCTAAAGAAAGAACAACATAGTAAATGTGAAATAAACCAAGATGGTTTCTTTGTGATGCTTCCACATTGTCATTAATCAATGGCAAAGAGTACTTGGAGCCAATTTCTTACCATTTCGCATCATGCAGCCAAACTGCATATAGAGGGATAAGAAGGGTTGCAGATGTTTTCTTTCTGGACTCTGCTTTCCTTCTGTGTGTTACACACAATTCCCAGTAGCTCTAACAAGGCCTGCCACCCATCCTGTCCTGTTATCCTTCATAGCCATATGGCATCTGCCACGGGCAAATACTATCACAGAGGAAACAGGAAAGGATTGATTTTTTTGCAAAACCATGTTCCCATGAGCAAGCCTCATGCACACAGACAGTTCCCACTGGCTCCAGTTGCAAAGCTGGGACAGGTATTCATGCAATCAGCAGAGGCAGAACGGCAACTGAGACCCCATAACAAGCCGTCAAGCTCCCAAAGCAAGCACTGATTTGAAATAAGAACAGATAAGAGAAGTGGATCCTGCAGATCAGTAGTGCCGGTTGTCATTGGGTGCGTGTTAAGTAGTTGGCATTTTGCGTCCCCTTCCTTCCACGTCCTGGTGGTTTTCTGGTAGCTCTCCTCCTGGCATGCGTGGCTTTCTCATGGTCAGTCATATTTAACTCTCAGGACGACAGTGCAACAGTATCCTGACAAGCGGTTGGTATATTTATTTATTTTTATTTTTACTCCTGGTTTTATTGTCCAGTTATGAATTTCTTCTACTGTTTGCAGCTTGCACCGATGTTTCATGGTACCTCGAAGAACACTACGCTGTTTGTGTACATCTGTTTTTCTCCTGGTCATTTCTAAAGACACCCACTGTCCATAGAGGACAGTAACGAACCGCAGCTCCGGTAGCTTGGCCATGACTGGAGATGCCACCTGAAGTACAGTTAGTTTATACATACAGACTAGCTGTCCTGCTGTGGGTTTGCTTCCTTGGTGGGGTACGAGAGAAAGTCCCAGAAGGTCCTGAATCCCATAGGTGCTGGAAGTGCGTTTCAGTAAACTGTGTTTGCAGAAATATATTTCTAGACACCATTCTCCAAGGCAGAAAAGGAGCCTTGATGTGCAGAATGGGGCAAATCCCTGTGCCAGTGCAGCTCTGTGTTTCGTGACATGTCCTAAGGGCAGTAAATGCATTTTCCCTTTAGCTGAGTGTAGCCTTGCTGACCAGGGCACCACGGAGTCCTTATCAGCAGGAAGCAGAATAAGTGCAGAGACTGCTTAAATGCCAGTGTTGGTGCCCAGGAAAGGTGAATGGGAAATACCCCAGTGTGTGCAGAACAAAATAACTACAGTAGTCAGAAAATCATGTCAAATAGGACAGAAAAATAAAGCCCTAAACCCTCACAGAAATCTACTTTCACTCCTCTTCCAAAGCTGGAGAAGTATGCTTACTGTTGGCTTAAACTTAAGACATATATCCCCAGATTTGCTTAGCACTGCACCTTTTTGCAACCAGGGCTGAAATCCTCCTTCCTCCCTCCTCCTACCCTGCATTAGACTTATTTTTTTAGCTCACAACCGGCAAGAGAAATAAACTGTGCTCAGTAGCTGTGCCCTGGCCGCAGGAGGACTAGAGCAGCCCCGTGCCCATAGCATGGCAGGAGCAGTGTCTGCGCCCCGGTGGGGTGGTGAGACTGAGCCCCATGCGCAGGGTAATAAAGGCGGGTGAGACTGGTGGTCCTCGAAGCCCCCCAAATGTGTTGCATTGCCCCTCACTGCCCAGCATTTCCCCTTCTCCGCTTCTCATAGCTCTCCTATGTGGATTCGGACGGGAACCCCATTGGCGTGGTGCAGATGACTTTCCTCCGGCTCCTGAGCGCTTCGGCCCACCAGAACATCACCTACAACTGCTACCAGTCCGTAGCCTGGCACGACGCCACCACCGACAGCTACGACAAGGCCATCCGCTTCCTGGGCTCCAACGACGAGGAGATGTCCTACGACAACAACCCCTACATCCGAGCCACCCTCGATGGCTGCGCGGTACGTGAGCGGAGCTGGTCTTGGCCAGTCCCAGCAAAAGGGGTCAGTGCTGGAGGTGTCTGTCCCCCTTCCCTGGTTGACCAGCACAGTCTGCCTCGGAGCGAATCGCCTCCAAATTTCCTGTGCCCACTGATGTAGTTGCTTTGGGGATTGTCTCCAGCATGGGAAGCGTTGAGCTTGCTCTTCTCTATGCTGGGAACACAGGATTCCACTCAAGGTCAGGAGAAACTGCAGCACCTCTAGAAAGCAGATTAATTTGGTTTGTTGCTGGCTCTGCATAAAGGAAGGGACCTGCCTAAAACCACTGGTTGCTTTTAAACATTCCCCCTTGCCTTTGCTCTTACTCCGTTTACTCACCTGGGGAGACACAGGCGATGACACTCAGTTACGTACGAATTTTGCAGGCTTTGGTAATAATTTTTTAAAATAGTAATAATTTTTTAAAATTCTTTCAGGAAATCTTGGAGGTGAGGTGTTAAGGGTTTGGCATTGGGTTGGTTGGGGTTTTTTTGCAGCACGCTGCTGTGTGCAGCCCCAGGAGGGCTCTGGGCATGGGGGTGCCTCGCTGCATCGCCCCAAGGCTGGCTGCAGTGCCCAGCCCTAGCCCGGCGTCCCCAGAGCTGCCGCAGGAGCCCCGGCACAGTGCTTTGGTTTCCTCTGTGCTTGCAAGCCCCTGCTCCTCATGGGAGCTGCCTCTGCCCTCGGGAAAGGGCAAACCAAAGCAAGGGCCGAGTCTGTATAGCGAGACAACTAGTCATGGCCATGGGATGCAGGAGACAGGTTTGCATCCCTGCTTGCATTTCAGATGTGACTTTTAGCATCTTTCTCTCTAGCTCTGTTCCCCGTGACTTTTTTGCCCAGAGTGCAGAAGCAGGCGTTACGCTGCACCCCTCCCTCCCCCCCACAGCCCATGCTGCTCTTCACCTTCACTTTGGCCATGAACAACAGCCAGTGTTTCCAAAGGAGTCCAGCATCCTCCCTCTGCCGCCTCCTCTTGGGTGCTGAGCTCTGAAAAATCTGTCCTCAGGAGCTAAAAATTTGGCAAAGCAGGTGCTGCTGCATTTATTTTGAGACCCAGCTTGCTGGTGCAAAAGCAGGCGTAATTCTCACTCTCTGCAACTGCAGTGCTTGAAGCCCACAGGACAGAAAGATTGAGATGTTTGACAGAAAAAGCCCTCCACATAATTTGAGATGAGCGTGGTTCTGTTCTGGCACACGCACATCTTCTACTGTGTGAGCAATGAGGAAAATCAGATTAGAATCCCTTCTTTTAACACGCTTGCAGAGAGGGAAAGGGCATCTATCCTGCTTCTGGAAATACTCAGAAGCCACGTGGGGAAGTTTATCCTCAAGTACTTCTTATCTCCTGCAAATGCAGTGTGTCTTCGGTAAAAAGCGTTTTCCCCTCCCTTTCCCATCTTAAGACTCAGGGATGCTGCAGGATGGCCCATCGCACATTTTAAGGCAGGTGTCCCTTTGAAAACCCTTTTGGTTTAAGTGATTTGGCTCAGGTGCCGCACCTTCCTCTCCCTCACGAAGGGGTATTTGCATGGGAAGAGGACTGTAGCTCCTTCAAGTGTATTTGCGTGGTTGCTTCTCGCAGGCGGCTGTTAGCAGTGCGGCAAATAAGTAACCGTGGCAAGAACTAAAGCAGTGGGAGCACCAGGAGAGGCTGAACGTGCCCTGGTGTGATGGTGGGGCACAAAGATGTCGTCTCCTGGCTCAGAGCTTTGGCCATCACTTCTGAACTGAGCTGCCCCAGTTCTTCCTCTCTGCTAAAGACGTTCCTGCAGACTGTAAAAAGGAGGTGGAATGTGCCAAGGGAGCTTATTGCAGCCTTGCAGAAAGAGGCTCTGCATCTCCTGTCTCCCTGTACCGTCTCCGGTACCCTGGTAGCGCATCCTTCCTGAACCACAAGCAGGATATTTAAGATTGAGCCCTACCACGTTGAAAAATGAGGTTGGGCTACCTGGCACGGTGTTTGTCACAGAGGTCCTGGTAGGACCCGCGCTCTGGCCGTGATTGAGGCTACTGCAGCCAGCGCAGGAGGGTTCTCCAGGGCTAATGTTCAGGCCATTATGTGAACGTGTTTTTCCTGATCTTACAGCCCTTTCTCAGTAGCTGTGATACAGCCTATTTTACCAAGAGACACACAAATCAGAGGGTAAGGTAGAACCAAAAGCTGCTTCATAAATTCACTTGTTTGTACAGCTTTGTATGCCCTCAGGTGTACTTCTGCTCCTCTAATAATTATTTATATTTTAGAAATAACTGTATAGCTACCAGGCACAATAAAAAGACAACATCACCTTGTGAATTCCATCAAACTTTAAATGTGATCTTTTCGGTAGCACTTGGATAATAGTCAAACTAATATATTCAATCGCTCACATTTGCTCAACCCATGCGTGTCCTTGAGGAGGCAAAAGAACAATACCACAGCCACAACAATTTTACCGGGCTCCTGTTCCAGCTCGGAGATGTGCTAACAGCAGAGTTGTGCCTTTTGATCTGCATGGCAGCAGCTGCTTCTGCTCCAAAGTCTGGGCTCAGGACAGGCATCTCCCAGGGGTTTGCTTGGTGGACACCATCCCACTTGAGGGTATGTCTGATAAATCTGCAGGGCAAATGTGTGTTTGGGTGCTGGGTGCCTCTAATTCAGCTCAGGAAGGGCCTGGGCAAGTTTGCCACTGTATTCCCAGCTGACTGGTGAATGCTCGTTCATGATAACTTGCTGTTGTTGGGTTGGAGGCATTATCAGAGCTCCTCTCTCTCCCTCTTCTCCCCATCAGGCAAAGAAGGGCTACCAGAAGACTATCCTGGAAATCAACACGCCTAAAGTAGAGCAAGTACCTATAGTCGACATCATGTTCAATGACTTCGGAGAAGCATCACAGAAATTTGGATTCGAGGTGGGACCAGCTTGCTTCATGGGCTAAGAGCCACCTGAAAACTAGTCTCCAAATGAGCAACCTCGTAACCTCATTGCGCCATTTAATTAATTAAAAAAAAAAAAAAGAAAAAAGAAAAAAAGAATTCCTTGTCACATGCACGTTCTGAAACTGGACAGCGATGGGTTATTTTTTTCCGTTTTGTTTTGTTCCTCGTTTTGCCCGAGTTCCTCTGTGCCACCGCACCCACACATACCGAACCACCGACCAAGACGACCATTCCCACGATAGACGCAGAATCGCATGACCAACTGCCGCACGCGTGGCCCGCAGACCTGTCCCCACGCCTCCGCCACCGCTGCTCCCACTGCTGCTGCTCCACAGCCGCCGAGCAGACCCCACCGCCATCAAAGACTTCTTCCTGCAACGAAGAGATACCGAGCGCTTGTCTATACATTAGTGTGTGTGTGTTTGTTTCTAAGGGAAAATGGAAAAAACTTGAAACTCCTGTGTTCAGCTTGACGTTGAAGTCCCGGCAGTCCTGGCTCCGATCTAAACCTCGCCGAAGCTCAGCGGAGGCATTTCGTTGCCTTCCACGAGATTTGGATCGGCTCTGGCAAGCAGACGTCATGGCCATTTCCAGCATTTTTAATATCTCCATTGAGTCACGTAATTCTACATTTTACAAAATTTAACCCCATGAATTTGATAGCTAAAAGTCACACTGGGCATCTCTTTCCCATGTATTAAAGGTGCTTATATTTTTGTATGTTTGTAAGTAAATATTTGTATTGTATATTATTTTAAATGTTTAAATGTTTCTGGCTTCAAAACATGCATGTGACCCTGTCTGTATTAGAACCACCACCCTTCCCACCACCACCCCAGCCAAGCATCCGCCTGGGAATGAAGATGGCCAGCTCGCGTCCCACGGCTCACGCCTCTTCCCAACCCCAAGCCTGGATCTGGAGAGGCTCGGGGTTACGCCCAGGCACGAGTCTGCAGGATGAGGGCCCAATGAGTGGCAAACCAGCCCCCTGAGCCACAGGTGCCTTTTTGGAATGATTTGCTTCAAAATAAGGAAATTAAAGCCACTTCTAAGAAGATTTCTACAAACCCTGATCTAAAAGCAGGATCTGCTTTGAGTCTCTGCCCTTTTATACACTTGCTTACCTTAACATATGTGTTTTAAATTAATTCTTCTTTTTCCTGCAGCATTCTTTTAAAATAATAACAATTTAAAAAAAAACAAAAAAATCCATTCCCAGCGGCAGATTGCAGTGGCAGGGGGAAAACATTTGTCCTCTCTGAATATAAAGTGTAAAAAAAGAGGGAAAAAAAAAAAAGGTGCTTTTCATTTTTACGTCTCTCTGTGGTGCTATCTATTTGAATAACTTTAATACAACACTGGTGATACCCTGCCACTGGCCAATCTCCCACCAGCCTTTGCATTTTAGCCACTTTCAATACAGACTGCAGGCTTTTGCTGCAGTCTTTGATTATAAATGCATGCCACCTTCATATTTGTAATGTAGAAGACCCGCTCCTTCCTTAATTGTATTGCGGTAGCTTATACGGTCCATGTAGAAAAAAAGTATTAAATGTGCTTACATCTTTTTTCTTTTTTTTTTTTTGGTGGTGTTTTTTTTTTTCCTTTCCAAGAATATTCATGTGTTTTACATGGTGGTAACCATACCAGATTGTATTCAGTCGCTGAATGTTTGTGGTGCTAATTTCTGTATTTGTTGGCTGTCCTGACGCTGACGCTGCGCAGGTGCCTGCCCGCCGCGTGCTCCCGGGAGTCTGCAGTTTTCCTGGTCTTCCCATGGTGGCTCTGCCAGGATGGCTTTCCTTTCCATGCAGCGTTTTCAGCTTGCAACCTGCTGACACCGTCGTCTTTTTTCTGTTTGTTTGTTTGTTTTCTCCCTGGCCGTTTTCCTTGTTTAGATCTCTCAGCTGGAAAATAGATGTTGCAGGGTGTTTGTTTTTTTTTTTAATTATTATTTGGCCTGGAGTATTACAGCGACGCTTGAGCCAAGGGGGGGGTGTGTCTTTCATCATAAAGGAAAAGACATCACATTTACTGTGAAGAAAAGCCTATATATGATGTCTTTTCGCTCCCTCTTTCCTAAGCAGAGAGCAGCAGCATCCGAGGAAGCGAGGTGAAGCTGTGCTGGAGGGAGCGGCGATGCCGCACGGTGCTTTTTGGTCTGGGAGAGCCATGTCCATCTGTCTCCCTTCTGTCGTGTTCTCTCATATTTCTTTTTTTCCCCACTTAGAGGGGAAGGAAAAAAAAAAAAGAAAAAGGTGCTACCCTAAAAACTGCAGACTCCGGCAGCAAAGCAGTGAAAAGGAGTATATAATTATATATAGGAGAATTTAGCTTCTCGGTCACCTTGGCAAGAGCCTCGTCCAGGAACAGTGGGAAGGTCAGAAAAGGTTGCACATTCCTCTCTGCAACAGATAAGCCATATATTGATGTATGTACACACGTGTGCGTCTGTCTAGGTCATGTGATTCTGTTAAAAATTTTCATCAAGGGAGCTTCTTTCTTTTATTTTTCCTTTTACTTCTTTGCTTTAAGAAAAAAAAAAATTTCCTCTGTTGAATTCCACAGTGTTGTAATTGTACTGAGCTCCAAACTGTTCCAATTTCCCCAGACCACTTAGCTACGGTATATTGCAATAAAATTACTACTTGTATTTGCAGACATTCTTTTTGTGTAATTTTATTTCCCTCCTCCCTTAATATATATGACTTGAACAAATGTTGATATGAAAAATAAAACCTATGGAAAAAAATTTTAGTACATAGGCCCTTTTTAAAATATAGTGTCAAATGGCATATTGTACATTTCTTCAAAGTCCAATAAACATGTCATAAAATTTAAGTGTAATGCCCATAAGAGCTATTTTTAAATATTTTAAACCTGTGTAATAAAGGAATTAAATGTAATAGATTTTTTTCAATAAATCAAGTTTACTGTTTCCACCTAAACCAACGTGATGTGAATGTCTTCTTGAAGTTGATTGCAGCGTGATTTCCCCACGACCCCTCTGCTCAGTGGAGCCGGAAGAGTTCATCAGAGGAGCTGTGAAAGCACCTGAAGGTAACATATACTGCAAAATAATAAACCAAACCTGCCAGAGAGAGAACTTCCAGGCCTGGAATCTTTTTTTTTTTTCTCAGTGAGAAACTTGGCTGGACCCAACACTGCCAAAATCCAAGCCGGGAATTTCAGTGGCTGGGACTCGGACGAGAAGATCAGGCGGCCCCCAGCTCTCCACCATCTCCACCCCAGCAGCAATGGCACCCGAGGAGTCTTTGCCTGGCACCGCAGCCTCTGCTGCGGCTGATCTCACCCCGCGGTGAACTCGGGGAAAAAGAAATATTTCTCCAGCTTCTTGGTGAGCTCCTCAACCCCCAAACTCGACGTCGCGGCCCCAGGATGCCGCTGCATGGATGTGCTGGGGGAAGGGGCGTGGGGGACGCTTTGCCCAGCCTCTCCTCCTTGCCAGGGACGTGCAGGCAGGCGACGGCTCCTCTGGAACCCGCTGTAAGAAACCGTCTGTCACTGCCTGCCCACACCAGCCGCGGCTGCTGGATTTGCACCGCTCTGGTTCTCGGGGGCTTCTTGCGGAGATCGGTCGCTTGGTGCTGCTGGTTTGCAGGTTCAAGAAGATGCCTGCACCTTAGAAACGCGTCCTTCTTTGCAACGCAGCAGGTACGTACGGTACGAACAGGCACGCGCGTGCACAGACCCACCTCTGTGCACAAAGCTTTGCGATGACCAAGCCGAGTTGTGTGTCCCCTCAACCTCTCCCCTTCATCCTTTGGCTCCAATCAGTGGTAGATCTCGGATTGAGAGAGATGTTAGACAAGGAGCCAAAGTCCTTTAGTCTCGGTGTATAATTAGCTTACAGGAGTAGTTCTGGGAAATCTTGGGGTATTATGGCCAAATCTTTAAATGGACCCCAGAAATGCAGAGGTACCACAGCTGTGGGAAGAAACTAGAGGAAAAAAATAGCTTTAATTACTTAGACCTGGCTGGAAAGATTTAACTTAGATCCTGATGATGCTTCAAGGTGATAGTAACCTGGTCTGTGCTGACTTGCCAGTTGTGGTTTGCTGGTTGCAGCAAACACTTTGAGTAAATGCCCCAGGGACTCGCTGCCGAGAGGAGCTTTGATCTGCCATTAGGAGAAAGCAGAGATCTGAGCGAGGATTTGGCCGTTTCTGGCGCTGCCGACCACAGAAGCCGTGGCGTGTTTTTCACCTCTTTTCCTATAACAGAAAGTCCACGATTTGGTGCTAGAGCTACAATTGCAGCAGGTAACTTTTGGAAGAGCCACAGCAGAAAAAAGCAGATCACTGAAACAGCGTGAGCGCCCCAGGCAGTTCAGCTCTGCTCTGAGGATGGGGCAGGATGGCACCGCTCAGCCCAAACTCACGCACGCCCGGGCACGGCGTGTGAGGGGGACCGCGCTCAGCACCCACGCCAGCCCTGGGGGGAGCAGAGCAGCACCCACCCCGGTGCAACTCGGGGAGTGGGAGTTAACCACGTCCAGCAGAGCCCAAGTGCATTTCCAGCGGCCGTTAAAAGCAGCTGGGGCAGCCTGGGCAGGGTCGCAGTGCTACCGGTGTCCGCTTTGTTCTGCCTGTTGTGGGGGTTTGGTTTTGGTTTTGGGGTTTTTTTTTTGTGGGGTTTTTTTTTGCTAACAGGCAGGAGCTTAACTGGGCCAGGATTTATTAAGAAAGAAGGTGAAGCCTGAAGAGTTTTCCCCATCCTGTTACCTGAGCTGCCCCAGGCTTGAGGATGTCTGCGTTTGCTTCCCGGCTGTCCCCCCAGGTAAAACGTGAACTGCTGTGTGACTCGATTTCCGCCGGTAAAGGGGGAATTACTCCTTCCCGGTTTATGTTTTAGCCCAAGTCTGGAGGAAGGGGCCCGGGCCCTTACGCCAGCTGTGTGTGTTG